AGTTATGTTAAAATGTCCTGGCTCTTCCAAGCTTGATAATGGCAGTGAATGGCTGTTTGACTCTGAAAGTACATTAAAGCGCATCTATTCATGATTAAAGTGCTCAACACGGATGTGTGGGGGTTAATAAAGACCTTCTGAAGTGAGGTATGTGTCAAAAGTTTCTGGTTACAAGTGGCTCACGAAGAGTAGCGAAATAGTCTTTAAGGCCCCATTTACACTGCATGGTTCAAGCGACTCAAATCCGATTTTTTCCTCTCATATGGCACAGATCGGATATGACCGGTGAACATGTAAGCAGGAAAAAAACGCATGGATCCCGATTTTTTTCAGATCGGATTCAGCCCTCACTCACATGTGGTGATAAATCGGATATGAATCTAAAACGTGGATTTGCGTGTGCCATGTAAGCAGACAAATCAAATATTCCCCAGTAAATGCGAGTGGTACGTCATTAAAAAAGTGACGTCAACTCTGATGGACACCACCAATTGAGATCACATGACTTAATATTGGCGCGATGGAGGATGAAGGATACACACAGTGGAGCAATGTGGAGGTTTCATGTCTCTTGTGTTTGAGTGTTTGAGGCGAAGAGCAGTGGTGGAGGAAGTACTGAATCTCAGTACTTAAGTAAAAGTACAAATAACCAGATGAATATTTACTTTAGTAAAAGTAGAAGTAACACAATGACAACCATACTTAAGTAAAAAGTACCTGATTTTAAATACTTTAAGTATTAAAAGTAAAAGTACTTGCATAACAATTGATTCTCTTAATGACTATTTTCTAATGATAAATTAATGTTAATAACTATGTTTGGCAGTAAACGCGATTAATTTATGGTGTAATTCTGAACCTCTTGGCTTGCCATAATCCTAACCAAACGTATATTACACACGGTGTGTTTCCTATGCACGTAAAAACACATTTTCGCGTATAAATTGCACGATAAACACACTGCGTGCGAGACGCATTTAGTTGATGTATCTATGGCAACCAAACGTCACTGGTGAGACAAACGTGCAACGAACGGACGGTAAGATTACGTTTTGGCAGGGAAAAACTGATCAGAAAATATAATGAAAATGTAACAGAAGTTGTAAAAATGTAGTGGAGTTGAAAGTATAATAATTGCTGCAAAATATAACGCAGTAAAAGTAAAAAGTATGCACTATTTATTCTACTTAAGTAAAGTAAAGATACGTAAAAAATGTACTTAAGTAAAGTAACAAAATATTTGTACTTCGTTACATTCCACCACTGGCGAAGAGTGCGGGAAAAATGCATGGTAATAAATCCATGTTTGAAGACATTTCATGAGATATGGGAGGCACGGTTTTAAGCACTCGTGGCTGCAGTGCCAACAAGGGCTCTCCTCTTTTTCTCCGCCGTACGAGACCAATGTTTTGATGACTTTTCAAAATATTGTGGAAAGCAAAACACTGCATAAGTTTATTTGCATCTGCATCCATTGCATTTTGTGCTGTTTTACTCCCTTTTCCGGGTCAGAATGTCTACATTTGGTAGTTTCAGCAGTGAAAATGCAAAACGGGTCACTTTTAAAAGATGTAAGCGGGATGTCAAAAAAATCAACGCTGAATCAAGATACGACCTATTTTTTTCATGATTCAGTCCAATTTGGTGAAGAGGTTTGACCGGTTCACTAAAAAGTTCATAGCTGTCAACATTGAACATTGAAAATAAGGGAGTTTTCCCGGAATCCATCCCCAAAATAAGGGATTTTTTTTTTTTTGCACGATTCTCACCCACAAACTTTAAAAATAAAGCACAATCCTTAAAAGTCTAAGGTGTTCATAACTAGCCTATGTGTGAGAGAGAAAGAGACAGTGTCATTTAAAGGGAAAAAAATCTACATTTGGATTAGCGTGTGTTGCTCTAGCATTTGGACAACAATTTCAACATTTAGCCTATCACACATCTTCCAAAATCCGCAAAATAGGGAAGTGGGCTGTCTGTTTATTTTAATTACATTTACACATTTTGTGTAGCTTTAAAGAGCCTATTTAGCCTGATGGTGGACCATCACTCAGAAGACACACTATCCTATCTTTATATCCTCCTATAGGCCCAGAACGTTTTTTTTTTCAAGTTTTTTTTTTCTTCTTCATGTAATCACATTGTTAAGAGCTTAAGAAACAAATCTATTTATAATAATTATTATTTGTTTAAATGACATTGATATCTGAATTTATGTAAAAACCTAGACTTTCAAACATCAAAATGTAATGTATATGTATTCGAGTAGCCTACAAAATTACATTCAGCTAGCCTAAACATCGTTTCCTGTTTTTTATTTATTTTTTTGCCTGGAAACGCAAAGAAATTCCAGGCAAAGAAACACGCTTGCCTGTCGCGTGAAAAATAGGCGTCAGTTCTATTTCTAGCATGCACGCGTTTTCTGGAGACGCGCGTGTCACGCAGGCAGCGTGCAATAAAAACGGACACGCCACGCAGCCAGTGTGTCTCCGGCCAGCGCGCGCGGCACCGCATCCGAGGATAAACGACTTCAAGCCGAATCTGTCCGATCCCGTACGTCTCACACAATCAGAGAGTAAAAATACGGTATATTTTACGGGAAAATACTCAAACGGGAAGACAGCGGGAAAAGAGCTAAAATACGTGAGAAACCCGGAAAAAACGGGAGGGTTGACAGCTATGCTAAAAAGACTGATTCGTCCACAAGCCGGACATCACAACAAATAATTAAACAAAGGAACTGGAGAGAGGGGAAACAAAACAACACAAATCCAAAGGGGAGTGGAGGGTGGGAGAAGCCAAGGGGGAGTCCAGAGCAGGAAGAGCCAAATATTGGTCCAGAGAACCAGCCATGACGAGGGGACGGCCGATGGAGACCCAGGTGGAGCCTACAGTACATGACACTGCTGGCACTGGAGATGGAGGTTGAGCCACGGCGACCGATCCGAGGTGGAACGTGGAAACCTGAAGACTAAGGCGGAGCTGGTGAGACTGAGGACGAAGGAGGAGCCAGGAGGAAGGCGGAGCCAGATGGAACCAAAGGTGCAGGCAGGGCGACGTTTGACCAAAGCAGAGCCTGTGGGACGAAAGAGCCCGGTGCAGTGGTAAGGCTGAAGGTTTCCGGTGGAGCCAAGGCAGAGCCGATGCATTGACAGGCCGTGGTGAAGTGTTGGGTTCAGAGGCTGGAGGTGGAGCCAGGGGATCCTCTGGACTCGGCGGATCTGGTGGCCTGAAGATCCGAAGAAGATCCAGTTCAGTGCCGGGTATGAAGAGGGGCTGAAGGGTACCAGAGGAGGTGGGGCTGAGGAACTGGCTATTAGACGAGGTGGGAGAGGGATCACAGGAGATTCAGGGATGGACAGAACCAGTAGGGGAAAATGGAGGGTCAGGGATGGGAGGAACCAGCAGGAAAACCAGAAGTTCAGGGAGAAAAATTGTTCCAAAAGCCATCCACCACGGTGGGGATGTGGTTAAGGCTTTCCTCGCAGCCCTCATGCTCCACTATCCCTCCCTCGTCAATACACATGTAGCGGGCTCACGCATCTGGTCAGACACACCTTGTGGTTCAAGCTCCGGGGTGATGACTCCTTTTGTCCTCTCTTTGTCTCCACGGTCTCCAGTGGGCTCTCATATCTCCATTGTGCCGGTCCTCGGTGGCGGATGGGGGCCGGGGTTTGTTAACAAGTACCCACTTCACAAATTCAGCAAAGTTTTTCCTTGGACCGTCCGCTGGGAGGCGTGCCTTGGACCGCTCGCTCAGGTTAGTGCGATAAAATACACAGAGCAAGCGATCCGGGTTGTGTGTCTGGCACGCAAGCTGGATAAAGTCCCAAGTCTGGTCTTCCAGCAGACGGCCTGCCTGGTCCAGGCACAGCACGAATGTCCGTGACAAAAAAAGGGGAACAACATTTTTTTCTTTGTTGTTTTTTATATCACTGTTATGGTAAGCTGCCTTTTACACCCCTGCAACTTTAGCCCCATTGTAAACTATACATTATTTAAAAGATTCTTGGATATTTTCACTGGTAAACTCCAGACAATTTTTTTTTCAGCATTAACATAGAATAATTTGTCAGTATGTTGCAGTGTTTTGCACTCATGTTGCTCGCTGTTCAGTGATGTTGTAGCTCTGGAATGAGCTGGATCAGAGCCCCAGATCCATTACCATATCATCATTCACAGAGGTCTGTAAGATCACTCCTGCTTCATGCCATGCATCTGTCAAAAACACACAGGCCTGCAAGAGTTCAGAGTTTATTTGTGCATATTTGTGTACGTATGAAAGCACGGTTTGGGTAGTTGCATGCCCGTGCACATCTGAATTCTTAAGGACGCATTGTGTGATGATCTTATTGGAACACTTGGCAGGGATACGGGGAGATGTATAATCATAATCAATTGCTCATGCAGTTGATTTCCCATTGAAAAAAAACCAACAAAAAAACACGTGCCGAGAAGCTGTGCAGTCTGTTTTTGTCTCTTTCAAGACTGGACTTGCAGTTTTTCCTTTTTAAGAGTGTCAGTATTGTGTTTTCATTTCTATTATTATCATGTACACATGTCTTTGGTTTCCCCTTAGGATCTGATATCTCTTTTAGTAGATGTTTCAATTTTATAACATTATCATTTTTTTCCTGATATATGATGCAACAAAATAAAAAGCAAATAATTATGGTTGATATGCATGCACATGTACATAACATTATAGCATAGCATTTTTCTAATTGAATACACTTTTTTTTCAATTATAAAAAGTGTGTGCAGACAATCAAAACAATAAAGTGGTCTGTTATGAATCAGCATTCATTAAGAGATCATCAATGATGATCTTCTACTTCATGTGATACAGTTTATCATTCCACAATAGTGACATGTCTGATTCCATATAAATACACTGGTTTGGGGATCAGCAGACTAAAGGAAGAGTTCAGCCAAAAATGAGGTGAACAATTTGGTTCATTGTTTTTTTACCCCCTTGCTCTTCTATTTTTCTCACTTAGGTCTAAGGATGTGGACAATGGTAGGTGTGATCTGTCTCTCTCAGTCCATTATGGGACAGCTGCTGGAGGCCAGGTCCAAAGGAGCCCTGCCTCAATTGATTTGCAGCATTCCCGGGATGCCAGGGGCACTAGGAAAGTCTGGCCCCCCTGGGCCTCCTGGGGAGGATGGCCATGTCGGAATCCCTGGAAGAGATGGGAGGGATGGACGGAGGGGAGAAAAGGGAGAAAAAGGAGATCCAGGTAGAGTTCTCATTGAATCCAGTTCTCATTCAATGGTGTCAATGCAGGCAGATCAATAATATTGTTGAATATTAAGTGTCCCCAAATAAGCAAGCCAAAAGCCAAAGGCGGCAGTGGCAAGGAACCAAAACTCCATCAGGTGTTAGAATGGAGAACAATCCTTGGGAGAAACCAGGCTCAGTTAAGGGGCCAGTTCTCATCTGGCCAACGAACAAAGTGTAGAATTATGATTCAGCCAGCATTAAAGGTACAATATGCAAGATTGTTTCGCACCAGGGGTCGCTAACCTCTTACAATAACTAGACTTACAGTAGCTAGATAAACATTAGAGATCATATTCTAACTTTTCATCATGTTGAACTACATAACATTGATTACTTTTATATACATTTGCTCACCTGTTTGCTCAAGTAACATGCAACACTCGCGTCTGGAATCTCTCGCGTCGCATCTGGAAAGATGTTGATCTTCGTTTTAATCCTCTTTTTGTCTCAAAGTCTGCTTGCCATGGTCCATAATGTTTGAACAAAACCCTACTAGGGACGCTCACGCTGTTGAGCTCGCATAACGGGCATAACTGATCCAGTTGTCCACGTCTGTCGCCATGGTTAATATCACTGTTGGAGGTCAAACCTGGGGGGTAACGTGGATATGACGTCATTGACTGGCGACTCTCACCCCTGCTCACACGCCCCGTTTCCTTGGTTAAAAATCGCAATTTTCTCATGATTTACAAATAGTTGGAAACATTTGAGATATTGTAAGTAATCAACTTAACAAAATATATAACTTTGGCCTAGTGGTTTTTGGATATTTTACTGCAAAAATCTTGCATATTGTACCTTTAAAGGTCAGAAGTCAGATTGGATCAGAACATTCAGAATATTCATCCAGTTTCATCTGGTTGAAGTTCTTATTCGTCATGCAGGTATGGTGGCGAGTTTGTTGAGGATCAGTGCCGCTGGCTGTCGTGTCGAGTCTAGTTGTGTTTTGGTTGTGTCTAGGGGCAGGTCCTCCATCTGATTTGGATATGGGCCGGACCCGGCTGACTACGGTAAACCTTGGGATAAACAAGGAGACTAATATTAGATAAGGAGATAATATTATATTAGCATATGTGAGCAGCCCTATCACCCTGTAGCCCAAGACTGGTTGCCCACTGAAGGATGCCTGAGCCTGGTGAGTACCTGGATGGGAGACTCCTGGGGAAACCAGGTTGCTGCTGGAAGAGGCGTTAGTAGGCCAGCAGGGGGCGCTCACCCTGTGGTCTGTGTGGGTCCACTCCAGTATAGTGACAGGGACACTATACCAGGGGTGCCCAATCCTGCTCCTGCCGATCGACTGTCCTGCACAGTTCATCTCCAACCCCAATCAAACACACCTGAAGCAACCAATTATTGTCTTTAGGATCACTTAAAAAATTAAAGGCAGGTCTGTTTGATTAGGGTTGGAGATGAACTGTGCAGGACAGTCGATCGGCAGGAGCAGGAATGGGCACCCCTGCACTATACTGTCAAAGAGGACCGTCCTTCGGATGAGACGTTAAACTGAGGTCCTTACTCTCTGAGGTCATTAAAAATCCCATGACACTTCTCGTAAAGAGTAGGGGTGTAACTCCGGTGCCCTGGCCACATTCCCTCCAATGGCCCTTGCCAATCATGGCCCCCTAATGATCCCCATGCACTGAACTGGCTCTATCACTCTCTCTCCTCTCCACCTGTAGCTGGTGTGTTGTGAGCGCACTGGCACCGTTGTACTGTGGCTATCGTCGCATCATCCAAGTGGATGCTCACACTGGTGGTGGTTGAGGAGTGACCCCGTCATGATTGTAAAGCACAGTAGTACATACGAAAAGCACTATATAAATGCCTCATTCATTCATTCATAGATGCCGTTCTTCTTATGATGCAACGAGTACATTGGGTGGGAGTGTTTGCGGTTCCGACTGACCTAATTTATACAGCTTAATTGATGAGTTTGCTCCTGGTGAGCAACTATCCTGCAGAGTTCAGCTCCAACTCCAATCAAACACCTGAACCAGTTAATCAAAGGGGTTCAGACTTACAGGGAAATTGCATGCAGGTGTGTCGGAGCAGGGTTGGATCAGAACTGCAGGAAGATAGCCCTCCTGGAGCAGGGTTAGAGACCCCTTTCTTGGGGTATGGTTTTACCTCACAAATTCAGCATCTTTAAGACGACTGTGTTTGTTTCAGGGCTCAAAGGTCGATGCGGGCCAATGGGAAAACTTGGAGATCGTGGGGAGAGAGGTTTTGTTGGGAAACGTGGACCTGAAGGTGATCCTGGAGATCTAGGGCCTCCTGGTCCTGCAGGACGTCTTGGACAAAAGGGTGACAAGGGCCAACGTGGCCATCCGGGAGAACCAGGAACTTGCAAATGTGGAAGTTTGGTTCCCAAATCCGCTTTCTCAGTAGGCATCACCAGTAGCTACCCCACCGAACAAGCACCTATCAAGTTCAACAAAGTCCTGTTTAATGAAGGTGGCCACTACAACCCCGAGACAGGAAAATTCATCTGTGCATACCCAGGAATATACTACTTTTCTTATGACATAACTCTGGCCGACAAGCACTTGGCCATTGGTCTTGTCCAGAACGGAGAGTACCGGATAAAGACTTTTGATGCCAACACCGGAAACCATGACGTAGCGTCTGGCTCAACTGTGATGTTTCTCAACCCAGAGGATGAGGTATGGCTGGAGATCTTCTACAAGGACCAGAACGGCCTGTTTGCTGACCCCGGCTGGGCTGACAGTCTGTTCTCTGGGTTTTTACTGTATGCTGATACAAACTATATGGATACATTGGCGGAAGACTACAAATAGCAGCTACTGTAACATCAATAAATGGTACTAGTCCATTCCCGTCTGTAACCCTGTATTGGGTTATGCTGTTTTTTCAGCACCTCATGCCATGAACGTTGCATTTGACACTGTTTCAGTTTTAAAAAAGCAATTGTTAAGTAAAAATAAATAAAATAAAATTGTACACAACTTGTGTGACACAACAAGAACCCTCAGTTCTGTTCTGTCAGCTGTTTTTGCATGGAAGAACGTCTGGCTTGCTGAAAGTCACCATGTACATTGTTGATACAAAATACTAATGGTTTCAACTGGGGGTTTTAACTAATGGTTTTAACTAACCATTTTAAAGTTGATTTTTTTTTCTTTTCCCACATTTAGTGGGAATTAACTTTTCCCATATTTTGTAAATACTGTATATGGCCCACAACATATTCAAATCCATATAAATTTACTTAAAATATTTGTATATATATTTTAAGTGTTCATTTTGTGTCCAAGTTCTTTTTATTGATTGTCTTTATTTTCTTACTGAATATACAAAATAAAGTTGTTGTGAAATATTAATTCCCTTCGCTTTTGCGAAGTGTTCATGTGAAATATTACATTTTTATATTATACATACATGTTCAAAGAGTTTATATTGTTTATTTGCTGACCAATAAACCATTGCTGACTGTAATGACATTTTTTTTGGCATGTTCAGCTAATGCTACATTATTTATTTGGTATCAATTCATGTGTCAAATGAATCCAAATATTTGAACAGAAACTCCCTTGGTTTTATTGCGTCGATGAGTCACTTGTATCTTGAATTCAGTTCAATTTGTCATGGGAGAGTTCATCTACTGTCAGAGAAAACAGCTCAACCATCTGGACTGTTCAGAGACCTTGACCCAAAAAAAAAAGATAATATTTGTTTTATATATATATATATATATATATATATATAAAGAAGATTTCAAAGATCACTTAATAAATGGGATTGTACCAGAGTATCCGGGCTTTAATTCTGCTGCATGTTAGTGTGTAATTCTACTCCATATAACACCGACCAGAAATAGTGGGGAAACGTGTAGCCAGACAGATGATTTTGGCAAAAGATTATTACACTAGTGTACTTCATGAGTAATGCAAATATAGTATTTTGCATTTGGAAAAAAGAAGCTCTGTGTATAAAACACCCACTATGAATTATGATAACAAACCACCTGAAAATGATCAAAACATACAGTACAGAATTAGTGAATGAAACTCACCATATTGGTTGATTTTGTATTCTTTAGGAAAAGATGAAACTTGATGAGAAAAAAACTTGGAACTAGTTTCAGAAATAATATAATTTTTAAATAATACACATATTCTGTGTTTATTAACATCACTCAGCTCAGACAATGATGGATTAGGTTGGTTTTGTTAAAACAGGAATAATGAAGGCGGTAAATTCGTGGTATTATAACTTGAGTGTAAATTGTTATGCATCTAAGACAACACTGAAGTAAGTAGTTTAAAATGGTAGACCTAATCTTTGAGAAGACACTCTTCTGTGGAATAAAACATAAAACACGTTTTTCTGAACATATTTTTGTTTTTACAATAAATATAATTTTAGTCGTATTGTAAACTTTACCGAGTACAAACAAATAAACGACAGAAAAAGTAGAAGAAGAAAAAACACACACATTCATGCAAAATTAGCTGATTTAAGCGCTGCCTAGAGTGGCGTCAGCAGATTTATGTGATTGACGGGAGTCTGGGCCAATGAAAAGCCGCTTTGACACAGAGTGGGACGGACCGGTCGCAAACCGCTGTGTGTTCGGTTGCAGCAGATTATTTACATCCGTTACCAGGCAGCGAGACCCAGCATGACGGTAAAACACTACCGAAATACATATTTAATCTCTCTTTTAGTGAATTAATGCTCTTCGTATTGTTGCAGTCTGGAAAGCATTGCTTTCTTTTTTGACGCAGGGTGATGTTTATTCCCTGCACCGAGAGAATACAGAGATGTACTTAACGTTACTGCACTGGAACTTACTTTATAAGAGAAACATCAGATGTGTGTTTATTGATGTCCGTGTGTTTGCTGTGGATAAGCTACAGTCAGTCCCTCTGTTATAAACTCGCTTTAATACAGTTTCATCAAGAAGTTCCTGTGAAGTCCTTGCATCTGATATGAATCGGGGAGATATCTGACATCAGTAATTGTATTCGAAATGTCTTCGCCGAGGTAATCTTCCTTTTTTACTACTTCAGGAATAAAAAAACATAAAGTGTGATTATTGTAAGAGTCAGTTTTCTGTCCTGTTGTCTTCAGGGATGTGCGGGAGAAGATGAGGAAGAAGAGGAGAGAACTGCAGGATTCTTTAGGAAGAGCCAGAGATGATAAACAGGTTATAATAATAATCAGTATGCAGAACATTATTAGTACTGGGGGTTTCACCCTTGAGAAAACTTAATAATAAGATTAATAAATGAATATAAATTAAACAAATACAAAATTATACATTTAACAGTACATTACTTGCGTGAGTAGAAAAATATAATGTATCTAAATAAAAACTAATTTTAGATTCATATAGGCTTTTTAGTGTATAAATTGGGTCATTTTTTTAATGATAATAGATTGAATTTTAGGACAGGGTCCCTCATACGAGGATGATCCCTAAACCCTGGTACAGTATAATGAACAGTGATTTCCATTTGCTATGTTTGTTGTTCATCACCTTTTTTAAGATGCGGCACTTTTGGGCAATAGAGCGAAACCGGCGGGTTCCGGAACTCCATTCATTTTCTCCATAGGGAAAACCGATAACTTATAAACTTTTGAATGTGTATTAGCATAATTTATGGTTAAAAACTACACCACCCATGATGCTGTACAAAAATTACACCAATCAGAGAATAGTAACAAGAAAACCCCGCCTCTTTAGCCCCGCCCACTCTCATGAAGCACTGTGAATGACCATCCCTACACTCTCTAAAAATATTGAAATGTTTATATCTGTAATACATATAGTTTTATACATATAATCAACATTTGTCAATGAGTAGGTTTATATTTTGCCATCATTTTTATTTGATTTGATCACAATGCTTCATGGGATTGTAGTTCTGTCCCTCGCTAAAACGTAAGTCTTATATTTTTTGTCCAACTTTTTTTTGCTTCAAATCAAAAGTTTTTATTGTTGTGTTTCACCTCGTTGCTGGTTGATTTGGTTCGTTGCTAATATCCATTTAACAATATTTTTAAATCCATATGGGAGAAATGAACTTAAAAAAAGAAAAGCTTCCGGAAGCAGTGTGCAGGCAAATATGCACACGTATTTGCTTTATTTGATCTCTGAAGTAGCTACACATGTTTGTTGCATTAGCAGCTTGTGGTACGAGACGAGCAGAATAAAGCTGTAGCCTCACTGAACGCATGAATGTGCTGATCTGCTGTAGGCTCTGGTTCCGGCAGACTGGGACAATGATCACGCTGCGGTGGAGGTTGGTTCTGGACTCACCTTTTCAACTTCCTCTAACTCTTCCCTGCTTTCCTTCAGTGTTCTCTCAAGCATAAGCAATCTGTCATCACTCACACACCAGAGTCTCCATGCTGCTCTTTCTTACACAGTTCAAGTGGAGGGTGATTTAAAGGGATAGTTCACTTTGAAATTCATTTTTGGTATGTTTACCTCAAGGGCATCCAAGATGTAGGTGTCTTTGTTTCCACAGTAGTTTCAATTTTGATATTTTTAGGTCAAACCGTTCTTGTCTGTCAGTCATATAATGGAGGTCTATGGTCACCACCTCAAAGAGCATGCACAGAGAAGTCCAAATTAAACATGATTTAATGACTCGTAAATGTAAGTACACACTGATGGCCTAAGACACGAAACGAGCGGTTTGTGTGAGAAAACCAACAGTATTTATATCGTTTTTACCTCTTGTAACCAAGTGACAAGTGACGTGCCATTTCCGCCTCTTGCGCAGACCGAAGCGCCCGCACCCTCAGATCACTTGGACGTGACTGTGGTTACAAGAGGTAAAAACTATTTTTTTGAGTGAAACTACTGCGGAAACAAAGACTCCTACATCTTGGATGTCCTTGAGGTAAGATAAAACATACCAAAAATGAATTTTAAAGTGTATTCTGCTCTTGCTTTGATCGGTTAGCGTAGCAGATAGCTAACATAAGACCCAATAAATAAAGACCCAGGAAACCGGAGTAGAGAGAGGCCTTTAGTAAGGATCTTTCCAATTTTGTAAAACTGTGAAAACATAATAACATGGCATTACAAACTGCCCATATATACATATACGTGAATATGCAAATCAAGTCTAACATATATAGCTATCCCATAAGAAAAATTAGTCATTTTAAAGAGACTTGTAGGACTAGTTAGCATTTAAGCTAACATTAACATGGATGTCTATGGAGAAATGCTAATCGCGATTAGCATCTATTAATACAACATACATATTATGCTAAAACGGACAATACTCAAAGAATATAGCAAAGTAAATATACTTTTTACAGAAATACTTACAGACTTAGACCTTCAAAAACTACCAAGGCAAAGAGAAAAGAGTAACTGCTGCGAGACCTCTCAGTAGATCAGAGTCAGAAGCACACGGGCAAAAACAACGGCAAGAGAGGAGGGACTAAATATGAGAACTCAAATGCAATATAAATTTACACCACTAGATGTCTCTAATGCAACACAAAGAGGGGCAGAACACTCCCCGCCTGGTATTAAATAATACCACTATGGCCCATTACTGAGAAGCAGCACAATGTCTGAAACAGGTCTTGAATACACCTTGGGAGTACCCTGTCTCATGATCTTCACGTTGACTTTCCGAATCCTGCCATCACGACTGGGGATGGTTTCCGCAATAACACCTGTGGGCCACTCATTCCTTTTAACTTGAGTGTCTTTAAGGAGTACCACATCTCCAACTTGCAGGTTCGGTCTTTCTGATTTCCACTTCTTACGGGGTTGGAGCGTCTCCAAGTACTCTTGCTTCCAGCGTCTCCAGAAAGTTTCAGCGAGGCTTTGGACTTGCCTCCATTGCTTGCTATAAAGATCTTTGAGATCCATGTTCCCCAGAGGAGCAGATACTGGATCAATCTTCTGAGTGAGCAGCATTGCTGGTGTGAGAACAGCTGGCATCCCTGGATCAGAGGACACTGGAACAAGAGGTCTTGCATTCATGATTGCCATGATTTCAGCCATGAGAGTCACAAGCACTTCATGAGTGAGGCGACAGTTCTCCTTCAATAGCATGGCATCCAAAATGCGGCGTGCAACACCGATCATCCTCTCCCACACTCCACCCATGTGAGAGGAGTGTGGAGGATTGAATATCCAGGTGCAACTTTTTTCTTGCAGGTGAGCTTTTAGCTCAGGATCCTCTGAGTTTATTTGCAGTTCTTTGCAAGCTCCAACGAAGTTTGTGCCCCTATCAGAACGGAGCAGACTTACAGGACCTCTGATAGCGGTGAATCTCCTCAAAGCATTGATGAAGCTGGAGGTTGACATGGTCTCTACAACCTCAATATGCACTGCTCGTGTACTCAGACAAGTGAACATAACTGCCCAGCGTTTGTTTTCTACTTGACCACCTCTGGTTCTGCGCGACGAGATGGTCCAAGGTCCGAAAACGTCAAGTCCAACATTCGTGAACGGAGGATCCATGGTGAATCTGTCCAGAGGTAAGTCAGACATTTTTTGTTCTTCCAACTTTCCTCTTAATCTTTTGCAGATCACACATTTGTGAATCACACTTGACACCAATCTCTTACTTCCTGTTATCCACAGTCCAGCTGTACGAACTGCACCTTCAGTGAAGTGTCGTCCTTGGTGAGCAACTTGTTCATGATAATGTCTTACCAGCAGAGTAGAGACATGATGGTTTTTTGGAAGAAGGATTGGATGCTTTTCTTCCCAGGACATGTCTGCTGACGATATTCGACCTCCAACTCTCAGCAAACCATTATCACCTACGATGGGATCCAAACTTCTGATTGAACTGTGTCTTGAGACTTCTTCACCCTTTGAGATGTTTTGAATTTCCTCTTTAAAGAAGTCCTGTTGTACGCTTCTCATTATTATGAGTTTTGCTTGAGGAAGCTCACCCATTCTCTGTTTATGGTCTGTATTTTTGGAGTAGGCTCTGGCCTTTTGGATGAGCCTGGCTGTTGCACGGGTAAGTGATTTCCAACTGGAGAATCTACTAAACCGATTAGAGCCGATACCTCCACCTCCACCTGTAGTGTTTGTAGCATAGGTTGAAACTTGAGGGCGGATTTCTGCATCAGACTCTGGATGTAAAAGGTCAAATATCTCTAGCTGAGGAGACTCATCCGACTCCGGTCTTGTCAGAAAAGCTGGACCTGAAAACCAGTTGGTGTCTTTTAGGAGAGCGGCTGGGACTGACCTGGATCCATGATCTGCAGGATTATGGCTGGTGCTGATATAGTGCCACTGATTAGGGTGCGAGGACTTCCTGATTCTTGTCACTCTGTTTGCAACATATACATAGAAGTTCCTGGACGTGTTATGAATGTAGCCAAGGACAATCCTGCTATCTGTGTAGTACTTGACTGTGTGAATCTCCACATCGATTTCATCCATTATCAGGTCTGCAAGCTCTGTTGCCAAGACAGCTGCACACAGCTCCAAACGAGGAACAGTGTGCGCAGGACGTGGAGCCAGCTTGGACTTCCCCATAATGAACCCGACATGACTGCGTCCTTCTGTATCAACTGCCCTAAGGTAGGCTACAGCTGATATAGCTAAAGTCGATGCATCTGCGAAGACACAAATTTCTCTGTGTACAGTGGCAAGCAGAGAAACAGAAAGGTAGGTCCTCTGGATCTGAAGTAGCTTAAGTTCCATCAAGGAATCTTTCCAGGCTTTCCACTGGGTTATTTTGACGTCTGGTAGTTTAGTGTCCCAATCGTACTCTTCTATGGAGATATCTCTCACCAGAGCCTTTCCCTGAATCGTGATTGGTGCCACAAATCCCAAGGGATCGTAGACACTGTTGACCGTTGAAAGAATTCCCCTTCTAGTGAATGGCTTTTCCTCATCAGACACGCAGAAGGAGAAGCTGTCTGTTTGCAGGTCCCATCTGAGGCCTAGACTGCGTTGAAAAGGCAAAGGATCAGATGACAGATCCAGATCCTTAAGATCTTTGGCACGATCTTCAGATGGGAAAGCGTTCATAACAGTGCTGCTATTTGATGCTATCTTGTGCAACTTGATGCTTGACTCAGCTAACATCTCCCTTGTTCTTTTCAGAATGTCGATGGCTTCTACTGCTGTGGAGAATGAGGCGAGTCCATCATCCACGTAAAAGTTCCGCATGACAAACTGCTTAGCATCTTGGCCATGTTCTTTTTGTCCTTCTTGTGCTGCCCGTCTCAAGCCATAAATGGCCACAGCTGGTGAAGGGCTGTTACCGAATACATGTACTGTCATCCGGTATTCAGTCACTGGTTTTGTGAAGTCGTTATCTTCAAACCACAAGAACCTTAGGAAATCACGGTGTTCCTCACAGACTGTGAAACAATAAAACATCTGTTGCACATCTGCAGTGATTGCAAAAGGCTCCCTGCGGAAACGAAGAAGGACACCAAGAAGAGTATTATTGAGGTCTGGTCCCTTTAAGAGGACGTCGTTGAGGGAGACACCTTCGTACCTGGCACTGGAGTCAAACACCACCCGTATTTGGTCTGGCTTCTTAGGGTGGTAGACACCAAATGTTGGTAGATACCAGCACTCTTGATTCTCTTTCAATGGCGGAGCTAGTTCTGCCTGGTTTGACTCGAAGATTTTCTGCATGAAATCCATATATTGCTTTTTCATGTCTGGCTTTCTTTCCAAAGTGCGACACAGAGATGAGAGACGTTTGGCTGCTTGCTCTCTATTATTTGGGAGACGGCGCCTTGTGGAATGAAATGGTAAGGGAGCCACCCAACTGTTTGCATCATTCATGTGAACGTTTTTGTCCATGATCTCAAGGAAGGCTTGATCTTCAACAGACAAAGCTATTTTCTCATCCTCTTTTGTTCTTTTGAATACTGTGCTTCCAAGATCATCAATGTCATCTGCCAGTATGTCCATCTTTTTCAAGGTTTGTACACTGTGACTTGATCTCCTCTTGTCAAACTTTTCCCGGATGTGAATAACACTATGACATGGTCTAAGGAAAGACGTACGGCCAGTAGGTAGGACATCAGTCCTGTAAACATTAATGCTGCTAGGCTTGTGGGCCCCTCCGAGACATACCTCTCCAACAATGACCCAGCCGAGGTCAAGTTGTTGGGCATATGGAGCATTGTTGGGTCCATTATACTGTTTACGTACTTTGTGTACACACAGTATATCTCTGCCGAGTAGAAGAAGAATGGCTGCATCCGGATCAATGGCTGGGATTTTATCCGCAATTGGCTTGAGGTGGGAATAGTGCTGTGCTATTTCTGCTGAGGGAATCTCTGAACGGTCGTCTGGCATCATGTCACACTCTATGAGTGATGGAAGTGAGATCTGTACCTTTCCATCTATTGACTCAACTATGAGGTTGTTTGCACGTCTTCCTGATGTTTCCACAATCCCTGAGCATGTTTTAAGGGTGTATGGTGCGGCATTTGCTCCAATGCCCAAAAGGTCGAACAGCTCGGTCTTGGCCAGAGACTTATTACTCTGCTCATCAAGGACAGCGTATGCTTTAACAGCTTTCTCCCTTTGGCCTGCAGGGTAGACTCGGACCAAGCATATTTTGGAGCATGATCGGGAACCGAATGAGTCCCCGCAGACTTCTGTGCACTTTGACATAACCTCTGGAGTCTCATCTTCCTGCTGCTCCCCGCCATGATCCTCCTTGACGGCAGAGCTGAATGACTTCCATGGCACTGGCCCTGGGTGAAGCGCAGCTAAGTGTTTGTTGCTGTTGCACTCTTTGCACTGCACAGATTTGTCACAGTTCTTGGCGAGATGATTTGTTGAGGCACAACACTTGAAACAAATGTGTTTCTCTTTGAGGTAAGCTTTTCGTTCATCTACGGTCTTGCTGCGAAAGCCACGGCATTTTCTTAGAGGATGGGGCTTATTATGTAACGGACATAATCTATCTGGATCCTCAACCTTTTCTTCCCTAATGTTTTGCTTATCACCACTTTCTGAAGAAACCTCAGTCTTCCTGGTGAACACATACGGTTTGGTGGGTTTCAGAGGTTTATCCGTCTTGACTGAACCACTCATGGTCAGTTCGACAAAGCTGGGGTCATTTCTTGTCTTTGCTTGGTCTCTGATAAACTTTACAAAGACACAAAAGGGGGGGTATTGAACCTGATGTTCGTCTTTATATTTAGAGCCGACTGCAATCCATTTCTCCAGAAGGTTATAGGGAAGCTTCTGTGCGATGGGATTGACTCCCCGTGGTGTGTTGAGGTAAGATAATCCAGGTAAGAATCCATCTTTCCTGGCTGCCTCCAGCTCTAGCAACAGGTCCCCTAGCTCCCACAGCTTCTCATTGTCCCTGTTTGATATTTTTGGAAACTCCTCTAACTTCTTAAGCAGAGCGTTTTCTATCATTTCTGCTGATCCATAGCATTCTTCCAATCTCTGCCACACCATTTTGAGTCCTGCGCTGGCATTATTGATGTGAACTGCACGGATCCGTTTAGCCTGCTCTGTAGACCGTGGTCCCAGCCATTTTGTCAGTAAATCTAGCTCTTCCCTGGGGGTTAAGTTCAGATCACTGGTGGAGTTGACAAAGGAAGCTTTCCAGGCCCAGTAGTTCTCTGGTTTATCGTCAAACTTTAAGAGCCCAGAGCTAATTATTTCTTTGCGAATCAGGTATCTGGCTAAGTCTTTTGTGTCTGACTGATCATGCAGGGGTGCTCTAGAGGGCATGAAGTAGGTTTTACCTTCTGTTGGTGTGATGCGAGTCTGTAGAGGGCGGCACTCATTTTGGTAGAACTTCAAAGGGCTTGCATGGCTTTGCTGAGCGTAGGCTGTGCTCGTGCTTTGGCGTTGTGCTGTTAATTCTTGGAACATGCCGTCGCTTATTTCTTCCCAACTGTGTGTTTGGATTCCACGATTATCTGTATCACCGTTGTCCATGTTTGTCTGGTGCTCTGGTGTAAAGATGCATTGTGGTTCCATGAGTTGAGACTGTTGCTCCCCATGTTCCAGCGAATGTTGTTGCACATACTCACTAGTGCGTTGATGTGAGTGATATGGAGCTAATTTGGTCACATTCTGCTGTGTTGGTTTTCCAACTTCTTCCTCATAAGCTGCTTCAAGGATTTCAGCCTCTGTAATAGCTGCTTCAGCAGCGCCCTGTATTTTCAGTGCTTTGAGGTTGGCCTGTAACTCAGTTGTCCTACGTTTCAGTTCCACTTCAAGCTCAGTTTTTCTTTTAAATTCTTCTGCTTCTAACCGTGCTTGCTTTATTAGCATGTCTGCTTCTCTTTGTGCATATGCAGCTTTGATTTTTGCAGCTTCCGCTTTAGCTCTAGCTCTCGTGGCAGCAGAACCGTGTGTTGAGGCACGGCTAGAATGGGTTGAGCTTCTGGTATGGTAGGAGTGTTGAGACTGTCCATCTTCTGGATATAGCAGAGGTTTTTCTTCACTTTTTTCCTCCATGATAGATTGTTGAATCTATGCTGCACTTCTGGGCTGCAGTGTTGATATCTCACTTTTCTTATGGTAGCAGACTGAATTTTAAGTCTTTTTACTATTCTGCTCTTGCTTTGATCGGTTAGCGTAGCAGATAGCTAACATAAGACCCAATAAATAAAGACCCAGGAAACCGGAGTAGAGAGAGGCCTTTAGTAAGGATCTTTCCAATTTTGTAAAACTGTGAAAACATAATAACATGGCATTACAAACTGCCCATATATACATATACGTGAATATGCAAATCAAGTCTAACATATATAGCTATCCCATAAGAAAAATTAGTCATTTTAAAGAGACTTGTAGGACTAGTTAGCATTTAAGCTAACATTAACATGGATGTCTATGGAGAAATGCTAATCGCGATTAGCATCTATTAATACAACATACATATTATGCTAAAACGGACAATACTCAAAGAATATAGCAAAGTAAATATACTTTTTACAGAAATACTTACAGACTTAGACCTTCAAAAACTACCAAGGCAAAGAGAAAAGAGTAACTGCTGCGAGACCTCTCAGTAGATCAGAGTCAGAAGCACACGGGCAAAAACAACGGCAAGAGAGGAGGGACTAAATATGAGAACTCAAATGCAATATAAATTTACACCACTAGATGTCTCTAATGCAACACAAAGAGGGGCAGAACAAAGTGAACTATACCTTTAAGGACTGAAGAGCATGCCGTATGCTTTTACATAAGGCATATGAACCACTTTTATTTGAATAGGTGAGCACATGCTTTTCTTCTGGACTTTCTGGATCATTCTTGTATCCAAGCATGTGACTTCCTTAAAAACTGCTTCTGACCAGTGGGGGAAATGCTGTGTGTTATCATTTGATGGAACTGGACTACTAACAGCTAGGCCTGTCCCAGTTACTGATTAATCATCCTGGTTATTAGAGATAACCGCAATAATTGGGTTTGATTGGACTGCATTATTATATTATATTATATTATTTATTTTTTATATTATTATTTTATTTATTATATATTATTATTATACAGTATTATTTTAAAAAAAACCTGTTGGACTTGTTTTTGACTTTTAACGAGAATTCTGAAAGCCTACAAATTAAAAATAAATAAATAATGGTCATAGTGGACATTTAAAACACACACACACACACTCATATATATATATATATATATATATATATATGAAGAGTTCAGATGCAAAAGCCTCTAAGTGCCATTTGAAATTTTCTTCTAAAATGATCATTTTTATCAAGCTTGTATATTTAAGTTCAGTAATTTCACTTAAATGGCAATGAAGATTACCTATTAATTGTCATTTAAGTGAAATTACTGAACTTAAATATACAAGCTTAATAAAAATAGTCATTTTAGAAGAAAATTTCAAATGGCATTTAGAGGCTTTTGCATCTGAACTCTTCATATATACTATCCATGAGATACAGTTGATGATAATAAATATTTATATTGTAATATTCCTAAGTGTGTTATTTTAGGAGATGGCAGGTGGTGACGAGGACCCTGGTGAGACACTCAGACGCTCAGTGATGGCAAAGAGGATGAAGAAAAAGAAGAAGGTCAGGACTGTAATAACTTATACACAATAATATATATGTATATATATATATATATATATATATATATATTAATGACTACTACAATAATAAAAAAACTTAACATTAATCATGGATATTTCATTACAATTTTTTTGTATTTTTATTTTAGAAAATGGTTATTAAATTTAAGTTATGATGCAAATCAATTTTAATCATTTATTTATTTTCTTTTTGACACAATGTCTACTACAACAATTAAAAAACACTACTTGTGAATATTCCATTACTATTTATTTATTTATTTAGAAAATGACAATAGAAAAAGTTAATAATGCCATAATTTTTAACTAGTTATTTGCTTCGTTTTTGATACGATGATTTATCACGTCAATAAAACATAATATTTATTATTACTGTTATGCTATTGTCATCATTATTTTTATTTTTGAAAATGAATGACTATAAAAAGTCAAGTAATAATGCAAAGAATACATGAAATATTTACTTTCCTTGCAAACTGAAGTACAAAAGTGTGAATATGGTGCAAGAGAAGCCTCGTCGGCTGGATTGGCTGTGTGTAATGCCTGTTCTCCGTGTTGAAGCTGCTGAAGGAGAGGACGGTCGAGGCTCCTCCAGACGACGAGCTGACAGCAGTGCAGGAGCAGGACAGACCAGATGATGACGATGATGATGATGGGCAGCCAGCGCGCTCACCGAGAGGTGAGGGGACTCGTCATTACAAAGCTTTTCTCTAGAGCTACGTCTACATTAATCCGGATACATCTGAAAATGAGTTTTCGACTAAAAATGTTCTCCTTCCACACTAGCGTTTTATAGCGTTGTCCAAAAGTTTCTCATCCACACCGAAACATCGGAAAATGCTAAATTCACCGTACAGCGCATGCGTAAACCCCTCACGAAAGAGATGGTACAGATAGAACAAGACATAATCAATTTATCACATAATCCTTCTGGGAGGATCATTTTATTTAGCAAAATATCTCAGCATTCACTGATGCGTTATGTATGTGTTTGGTCTGAAACAGCGTGCAAAGTTACATATTTCAGCAATTTGTGTGAAAGTGAACAGCTCATAACAGGCACAATACCGGTATAAACATGAATATCTATTGGTACAATATGCGTCAGCGTTTTTAAATATCTCTGTTTTCGCACTCCACACTATAAAGACCCGTACACACCGGAACGAATATCAGCGCGCGTTATTGGTCAGCGTTTTTCAACGCGTTTTTTGTGTTCACACCCAAGCGATTTTCACTGATGATGAGCCGAGTGAACATGCAAATTCATTCCCTGACATTAGATGGCGCCAATTTGCTCTGCAACACCACTCCTTATCAGTTCTCTTTCATCAAGATGTTTGTAGTCGCTGTCGCGTTTGTCATATAGTTCTTTATGTTCTAGCACCAACAACCGTTTTGTGTTTGAGCGCCCCCAAGTTGTGTTTTACTGTAATTTCAGAAGCTCCAAACACGTGAGCAAAAGCGCCAATCTCATTGGTCGGACAGTTTTTGACGCAGCGCGTCAAACTAAAAAATGAGCCCTAGGCGTTTTTTTAAAATGACGCTTTCACACGTGGCGTTTTACACACTCACATTGGCGCCCTTTGTTTAGTCACGAGGCGTTAAAGGGTTAGTTCACCCAAAAATGAAAATTCTGTCAGTATTTACTCGCCCTCATGTTGTTCCAACCCCGTAAGACCTTCGTTCATCTTCGAAACACAAATTAAGATATTTAAGATATTAAGATCGCTCCTGCATACTAGTCCATCGGCTTCTTGAGGGAATGACTCTTGCTGGCATCGAAAAGTCATTAAAGACATCGTTAAAATACTCCAAGTGTCTACAGGGGCTCAATCTTAAGTTTATCAAACGACGAGAACACTTTTGTGCGCAAAAAAACAACAAAAATAACGACTTTATTTCAACTATTCGTTTATTTCTCCCTCTGCGCGAGTCAGGTTACTAGTTTAATAGCGTAAGCTTCTGTTATTGTAAGTCACACGCATCACACACACATGACCAGCGTCGGCCAATAGTGAGCCTACGTGTGACGTAGCTCTACGCAATCACACTACGTTAACTGACTACAGGCTCATGGAGAAGGAAGTAAATAGTTGAAATAAAGTCGTTATTTTTGTTTGTTTTTGCGCACAAAAGTGTTCTCGTCGTTTGATAAAGTTAAGATTGAGCCCCTGTAGTCACTTGGACTATTTTAACGATGTCTTTAATGAGTTTTCGAGGACAGCAAGTCATTCCCTCAAGAAGCCTATGGACTAGTATGCAGGAGCGATCTTAATATCTTAAATATCTTAATTTGTGTTGCGAAGATGAACGAAGGTCTTACGGGGTTGGAACAACATGAGGGTGAGTAAATACTGACAGAACTTTCATTTTTGGGTGAACTAACCCTTTAAACGTCGGCGAATAACGTGCGCGAAATTCGTCCCAGTGTGAACAGGCCTTAACTCGAGAGTGCGTTGTATCTACTTTAAAGAGCGTTTTCCTAAAACTGCCGTCTCAGTTACCTCATTTCCACCAAAAAGGAACTGGTTTGCTGGTTCAACTTGCGAACCTTCGTTTGTTTTTCCACTGACTAGAGAGCCCAGCGAACAACGTTGTCACGTCACAGTGTACGTCGCCGTACGTCTTAGCTTTCCCATTCCCGTCGCGTCGTTGGTCTCAATAACCCCGCCCCTGACGCAAGCATGGCATTGTAAAAGAACGGTTCTAGTCCGGCCGCTTTGGAACCAGTTTTCCTGGCCGAGAACCGGTTCTTTGGCTGTCGAAACACACAGAACTGGTTCTCGAGTGGACACTGGCTCCGAACCGGCTCTCAAAATGCTTTGGTGGAAACGGAAGGCAACTACGGGGAGAAAAAGATGAGTTAACAAACAAAAACGTATTAGTGTGGACAAGGCCTTCGGGCTGGGACAGTCTATAGCATGTGACAACTAAAGAATTGATAATGTGAAGATGTTCAGTCTGGTGTCACAGCACAGCACTCTCATCCTCACAATCTCTCCAGATCTTCCTCCTCGTCCTGTGATGAGGCCGGGATCCAGCCAATCGGAGACCACCATGAGGCAGCGAATGACTGAGAAGCTGAGAGCGGCGAAGGTGAAGTTTGTCTATAAGAGAACATGTGTGTCAGGATATGTTTCAGAATACTAACTCTCAGTTGTGCCGTCCCTTCAGTCTAAAGCTGCTAGTCTTCTAGAGCAGGAGAGCATCACCGAGCCCGCCAGCCGCCTACAGAGTCTACGGGACAGAGAAACCCTCACTCGGTTCGACAGAGACGTAAGAAAAAGGGAAATGACAGGGGTGGGGAAAGAAAAATGGCAACATGGAAATTCAATAAATTTCAATTCAATTGTCCTGGTATGGTCATGTTTATGGGCCCTTTCACACCTACCTTGTTTGGTGCGGACTTTCGGACTTTTCAATTTGGTCCGAATCAAAATTACAGTTGTGAAACCTCCCTCGGACCACGGTCCGGACCAAACAGATGAAATTTGGTGCGACGAAAAGTCTCAAAAACGAAAAGAACGAAAAAAACAACAAAAAAAACGAAAAGTCTCGGTCCGGATCAACCTGAACAAATGGTTGGTTTTTTTCTAGTGTGAAAGCATTTCTGTATGGTTTGGACTTTCAGACCTTTTACAGGAAGTTCTGGTGGTTCCCAAAAAGCCAAAAACAGAAGGTTGCAGGAGGAATGAGCCGTGTAGCACACAGGGAGATGAGGAGACGAGGTGTTCATTGAAGTGTGGTCTGATGACATAGATGCAAGTCAACTTGCAGTCTTCTCCTCCTTTCCTGCCGGCGACGATAAAATGTTCACATGACGAGGACGTTCATTTGGCGAATTTGAGCTAGCCTTGTGTATAGTTGGTGCTGCAGGTAATTATGCCATAAAAATAACAATATAGTTGCAACGATATGCGTCAGTTCGTTCATGTTGTCAAAGGTACACGGCGAATTGACAACACGCTGACGTCCATTTACGAAACCAATCAATGTCAAGATGCAGCCCACATAGATGATGACGACAGGACGCAAGTATGTCGCGTAAAGTTCTTCAGTGCGCTCGCATTATCGCAGTGTGAAACCAAAACTTTCTGAACGTATTAAATGTATCGAAACGTGAACTTTGGTTCGGACCTTGGTGCAGACTTTCAGGTGTGGAAACGTACTAAAGCATACTTCGTCTCATTTAGTTTCTTTGTCACCATAAACCAAGTATTATAATATGTACTTCCGTTCAAAGTTTGGCGTCAGTACGATTTTTTTTTTTTTAAAGAAATTCATATTTTTATTCAGCAAGGACCATTAAATTGATCAAAAGTAAAGACAATGCTACAAAATATTTGTGTTTATAGTAAATACTGTTATTTTGAACTTTCAAAGAATCCTGAAAAAACACAATTTCCACTCAAATATTGAGCAGCACAACTGTTTTTAACATGGATAATAATCAGAAATGGATCAAATCATCATATTAGAGTGATTTGTGAAGGATCATGTGACACTGAAGACTGGAGTCTTCTGGGGGAATTATTAGATTGTGATATTACTGTTTTTACTGTATTTTTAATCAAATAAATGCAGTCTTGGTGGTGAGCATTATAGACTTCTTTTAAAAACATTAACATCCCCCTGTGGCGAAAATCAATTTTTTAATGTTGTTTATATGTCTATGGTGTTTTTAATCCGCTTTAAGACACACCATGTGTAAGTTGATAAGTGGACAGCATTGCTGAGTATTTCCTCCTTAAAACTGCAGTGAACCAAGTTTCTGACGCCACAAACCACCTTGTAACCAATCAGATCAGCGTGTGATCGTCAACCAGTGGATCTCTGAGTGAGTGAGTGGAGGCGGGGCTCATTTGCATATTCATAGAACCGCGTATACTAAATCTGAGGCAAGGGTGTCGAGTTACATTCAAGATATTTTAAGAAAAAACTCTTAAATATGTCATTTTAATGATCAAAAATGAATTTTAACGGAGACAATTATTGACTACAGGGGGACTTCTGAAAAAAACGTTAAATTATTTAATATGTTCATCTTTACACACCAGCTCTTGTTTAGAAGTTTGAAATGTAATCTGATCTGCTCTCATCCTGTCAGACGGATCCAGATCTCCGGGCTGATGAAGACTCGTCCTTCACTGCCAGGCTGAAGTTTCGTGATGTGGCCAGACGTGCAACCAAAGACAAAAGGGTAAGAGATCCTGTATCGGATGCCAGGACGAAAGGCGTCCTCAGAAGGGAATGGATGGATTCTGATGTTTTAATATTTCTTTACACGGTACATTGTGCATAGTTGCGTGTGTGTATTAATAAAGATGATATTTCCCACGTCAGGTGAAGTATGTGTACAGAATTAATTAGGAAATGCATTAGAAGTCCTGACATAGGTGTGTGTGTTTGGTTTCTGAGCAGACCGAAGCTGGTTTGCCGACCGCTGAAGAGGCCTACAACTTCTTCACCTTCAACTTCGACCCAGAGCCTCAACAGCAACGGCGACGAAAGAAAAGACGCCCCGGGAGAAGAGAAGCAGAGGAGGAAGGAGAGGGGGAATCAGAGGAAGAAGATGGAGAGGATGAAGAAGAAGGGGAGGAAGAGAGGGAGTGTGAAGGAGAGGAAGAGTCTGAAGCCAGGGTGACTTGTGTTTATGTGTTTGTTTCTGATTAGAATACAACAACAAAGATGGACACTAACAACGTTGACCCTTCAATCAGAACCAAAATATCAATGTTAACCAGTGCGATTATTTCAAAATGAACGGGTTCGAATAATTTAACACAAATAAATTACTGTGGCATGCGAAATTGCTTCATTAAAGCTACACTGTGTGGTTTTTACCCCCATCTAGCGGTGAAAAGGGATATGACCATCCAGTGAATATTAGTTTCTGTTCCTCTCAATTCCGATTTGGTTTTAACTCCTACGTGGCCAATGTAGTCAAAGATTAACATGGCTTCCAGTTCGACCTCGTCCATGAGTGTTAACTCAAACGTAAACGCGAAAGGCGAAGCTTGAATTAACGGGTATGTCCCTCTTTGGCTAATGTACTTTCAAGATGGAGGGGCAACATGGCGACCTTACCCGTATGTGTTTTCAATGGCATATTATACACTCACCAGAATACTTTATTACTTGAACGAAGTAAATATATATTAATGAGCACATATATTTTTGAAAGAACTAAGTGTTTTAGCTAAGAATAAACTAAAAGAGTTTAACATTTATGTCACACAGTTAGATGATCTTAAAAGTCGGGGGTTTATCAAGCTGAGCATGGCACAAGCACATTCTGAAATTTCCATTTGAACCCTTTAACCTGATTTCACTTCTCTGTTCAGATCATTTTAAGCCGCTAAACTCTGGGAAAGTGTTTAGTCCAATAATCCAGTAAGTGAAACCATTCGAACAATCAGTCCCAACATCCCTTGAGGACCAAAAACGCGTGTATTTTTTTTCACAATATAACCCAATTCACAGTTTTATGTGAATGATTAGGAGGATGATTTTCAGACCATTGTGAAGAAAAAACTCAAGGCAACATCATCCGTTAGTCAAAAGTCTTGTGGACGCATATTTCGTATGTGTTTTGTGAACTTATTTCAGAAACTTTCATCTTTAGTTTTTTCAATAACCACGCATAAACAAAACTCTAAAAAACTCAAAAATAAAAACATACATACATGTTGCTCACATATTATGGTAGCCCTGTTTGTGCTAAATATAGTGTAATTTCCCCTGTGCCATTAATATGTTTATAAGCAACTGAAAAAAGTACAGATGTCAGGGCATGTCAGAACATCTCAAGGACCCCAAATACACCTTAGACCCCAGAGGGTTAAAGAGAACCAGCTTGTTACATCAGAGATGCGACTCGCGTCACGTTGTAGGTTTTCATTTTTTACGATAAGTATGCGATTAATCGCGATTAAAAATAGTAAGCTATTGACAGCCCTATTTTAAATCTATATACAGTTTACAAATTGTTTTATATGACTGGTCACCTTTTTAATATTTTTTTGCAGTTCATTGGGCATTCTTATACAAATATATTTTGAGTTATTGATGTAGTCTCTCAATTAATATTAGCCCACATACAAATTTATTTTGCCGTTTTAGATTAGATATAGCGTCCTTCATTACTTGGACATTTCATATCAACTACCTTAATGCAATTCAATCCCTGTTTAGGATGAAGATGCTCCACTGGTCAGAGATGAGGAGGAGGATTTGTTCATCATTGACCAATCAGCACAGGACTTCCTGGAAGTGCGGAGAGCAGAGTACGTGGACTACAGTAGGCGACTGCAGAGGGAGCGAGAGACACTGTTTGTTCCCAGCATGAGGACAGGTACACACACAGAAACGCTCTTTACCTTAACCCTCCTCTAGCAGGTCAAATGATGACACGTCCCCATGTGTCCCGCAGTCCCTGCCTCGAGTAAGCTGGCTGAGAATGTGCGTCCCCGTTACCCGGAGGAGGAGGGGTTATATGTGGGCGAGAGGCCACACGTCTGCCTGAGGAATCAGAACATTTTGGAAAACCGAATACTCAAGCAGGGCGAGGTAATGAAAAGAAATCAGGATCGGGCAAGAGCACACAACCACTAACTTCTACAGTATAAAAATTAGGGATGCACCGATATGAACATTTTGGCTGATACCGATAACCGATAATTCTTAATATTTGAAAACCGATAACCGGTATATATACACGCCGATAAATCTAAATCCAAGTTTTTATAAACATTTTTAGAGTCTGATTACAAAACCATTAATATCCATGTCCCAAGCACACAATTATAAAAATGTTCTCATAATTTCATGAAGCCTATATGACAGACTTACGCTGCTCATGTTAAACTGAACTAAGCACTAAACTGTATTTTCCTTTTTTGAACAGACTCCAATCATATTTCAAGCAATACAAAACCATAATGGTGAACAGCGCGCATCTGAAGTGTCTCAGTATTTATCGGTTTTAAAATATCGGCCAAATTTCTTTGTCGGGCCATTAACCCTTTGTTAAATTTGTGCAAATATGTTTTATTTAACAAATAAAAAAATAAGACATATCGGCTGATACCGATATATCGTGCATCCCTAATAGAAATGATACTGTAAAAAACAAATGTTTACAAATGCTGTCATCTGTAATGTGAGTGTTTGTGGTTTGTGTAGGGACGGAAGTGGTTTGGAGACGATGGGCGTATTCTGGCTCTGCCCGACCCGATCAAAGAGTCCTCCTCCAGACCGCCTCTCTTCCACCTGGAGGATGAGCTGGACCTTGCGCTGCAGACGGCCTACAGAAAGGTCAGAGGTCCAGCTAATGATCGCTATAATCACTAGGGCTGGGTAATAAATATCGATTTCTCGATATTAATCGATTCTCATTTTTACGAACCGATATCGATTCTTAAATCTCAAGAATTGATTAGTCATCCTGTTTCATTTGAATGAATGGGACATTGTATCGCGGCTGCGCGCATCCAAAAAATCGCAATAATCTTTGTCCTTTGTTACTATTGATATGAAACAAAGTCTCAATTTTCAAATTACGTCCATTTTCTTTAGAAATTCAAAAACATAAATAACGTTTTGTGTGGCGTGACATCGCTCTGGCACAGTTCAAGAGAAGCAGCAGCGCTGATCTCTCTTCCGGCTTAATAATACCAGTCACAGCGCCAAATAAACATGAATGAGCATCTGAAAGTGTGTTAAAGATAGAGTACAACTTATCGAAATCCGGATCATGTCACATTGATTCGCTCAATCAGCGTTTCAACCGTGGAAAGACGTCAGTTAAACAGCTTGTAATCAATGTATCGTCATATTTACCTCAGAAAACCCACATAAACTCGTTAGTCAGCTAGAAAAAAATAACTCTAGAGAGGAGCATTTTGCTAAATATATACACCATATTACATATGCATTATAATCTTAATGTTCTTCAATATTTAATGCATATTTGAATAAATCTGGCAAGTTTTTATGACAGCCACCATTTAAATGTTTGTATTACATATAATCTTCTTATTATAAAAATAAATAAAAGTGTAATTTAGTGTTTGTATAGCTACAAAGTAGTTATTACCTTCATATAAGGCTAATGAAGCCTATTGGCTATAACTAGACTCCCATAGTTTACAGCATTAGTTAAGAGATTTGATTCCCTTGAGAAAAATTGCCATTTAGTGTAACTGATATCCAAAATAATCAATATTGAATCGAATCGTAATCGAAATCAAATCGAATTGCAAGCTTGTGAATCGAAATCGAATCAAATTGTGAAATTTGTCTCAATACCCAGCCCTAATAATCACATTGGATTCTGTGTGTTTTTCTTCTCGGAAGCTTGGCGTTTTAATGAGCTGATAAAATATATAAACTCAAATCAATATTTCATGTCTTAATTCATTTACTTATGTGGCAAATTGGCGTGTAATAATCACTTTTGGTCGGTTTCCTGATCACCATGTTTGGGTTTATTAAATCCCAAACCCATTTTTTGACACCGCCCCTTAATACAAGTTCCCAGGCTGCTTCAGTGAGTGCTTTCAAAGTATAACTAGTTATTAGATTTGCCAAAGTTTCAAAGGAAACATGACAGGTTTTGGATTTCTATGGTCTCAAGGCCCCAGACCAGTTTTCTTTCCCACATAAAATGATTGAAATCAACACTAAACCCTGTTCACAATCTATTTTCCTTTTTCTTTTTTGACTTCAGACAATAATTAATTCCAGGGACCCCATGTCACTAGGTCTGGAAAACATGAGATTAAATCTCATGGCAAGTTGTGAAAATGTATTTTTTTTTATTTCATGCGCATTTACGACTCGCTAAAATTCAATCCTGTATTGTTTACCAGCACCTATTGGTTTCAAATCCTCCGTGCAGCCTGTTTCCAGGCAATATGACCTGCCAATAATATTTGTTGAGATGAGAGGTGTGAGAACGGAGATGGGATCCAGATGTGTGGTGATGTCACGGATTCTGCTGTGAGACGGGGGAGTGAGGTCACATGTGCCGGTCACGCCTTGCAGAACTCAAAATAGGAGATATGTAATGGATATTAGGATACACACTCACACACAGCATCGAAATGAATCAGAAGAAGAACACGCCATCTGAATATTAAAGTGCTCACAGACATGTGGAGCTAACTGACACAAAGTGTTCTGCTAATGCAACTCATTAAAACATAAAAGGGTGAAAATGAGAAGCATGAAGTGGATCAGGAGTGCATGGCTCATAACCAATGAGAAAGCCACAGTACACTAGTCGTCATGCAGTAGAGGGGCGGCGTTGACTATCGACCATTCAACCCTGTTACCCAAGAAAGAAAAACAATTACAGGCACTTTCCATGTTACCAAATAGGACCCTTTTTGTTTTGTTTTTCAGAAATGTTCTGATTTGTTACATTTATGTTATGATAAACTCGTTAAATGCTAGTTGTCACGGTGTGGTATTGACGCACACAAAGGGGAGGATTAATACGCTCCCCCTTCTGGACAGTAGTGTGGATCGCCTTTGACTGACTTTATTCATCATCTGACTGTATGCCGTCATGGTTTAGGACTAATACATATAACGTTACTCCCCTACTATATAGCAACGCATTCTCATCCTAGGGCGTCATCTAACTGACGCTTTTGACCATGCGACAACATCCGACGCACATGGCACCCTTAACGCTTCGGTTATGGGTAGGTTTAGGTCTGGGGTAGGGTTATGGTTAGACCACTAGGGGGCGCCTTCTGGCCCATATATATATCTGCGTCTCATACAAGCGGCAACATTCTAATCTGAAAGATGAAGCCTACCCGGAAATGCGATAAACTGCAATACATCTCAAATCCGCTAGAGGCCAGTCCCAAAAGGGAGCAAATATCCACAGACATCATGTTATAATGTCCGTTTTCACAGCATAAATTCATATGTTTACAGTTTGGTCCCATGGACTTTTATTGTAATCTTCAATATGTTCCGCGTGCCTGACAACTGTGAGGGGGGTGAATTTTTTTTCTAACTCGTTAGTTTAGATCATATTTAGATATAAAATGTATGACAAATAAGGGCGGTTAACTTTGATTGACAGCTGATAACGGGCTGCGCCGAGTGAATTTGACGTCTCGGCCATGATCTGACACAACACATCATATCACCTCTGTATCCTTTCTGAAACTTTTGTATTTTGTATTTTCCAAGATTTTCCAGTATCGCGCCGCCCATACCCCCCATAAACAGATCAAACCCGTTCTTCAGAGAGTCTATGGGCATAGCTGTCAACATTGAACATTGAAAATAAGGGAGTTTTCCCGGAATCCATCCCCAAAATAAGGGATTTTTTTTTTTTTGCACGATTCTCACCCACAAACTTTAAAAATAAAGCACAATCCTTAAAAGTCTAAGGTGTTCATAACTAGCCTATGTGTGAGAGAGAAAGAGACAGTGTCATTTAAAGGGAAAAAAATCTACATTTGGATTAGCGTGTGTTGCTCTAGCATTTGGACAACAATTTCAACATTTAGCCTATCACACATCTTCCAAAATCCGCAAAATAGGGAAGTGGGCTGTCTGTTTATTTTAATTACATTTACACATTTTGTGTAGCTTTAAAGAGCCTATTTAGCCTGATGGTGGACCATCACTCAGAAGACACACTATCCTATCTTTATATCCTCCTATAGGCCCAGAACGTTTTTTTTTCTTCTTCATGTAATAACATTGTTAAGAGCTTAAGAAACAAATGGAAAAAAAGAAAATATATTTTATTCATATATTTGAAAATCTATTTATAATAATTATTATTTGTTTAAATTACATTGATATCTGAATTTATGTAAAAACCTAGACTTTCAAACATCAAAATGTAATATGTATTCGAGTACAAAATTACATTCAGCTAGCCTAAACATGGTTTCCTGTTTTTTATTTATTTTTTTGCCTGGAAACGCAAAGAAATTCCAGGCAAAGAAACACGCTTGCCTGTCGCGTGAAAAATAGGCGTCAGTTCTATTTCTAGCATGCACGCGTTTTCTGGAGACGCGCGTGTCACGCAGGCAGCGTGCAATAAAAACGGACACGCCACGCAGCCAGTGTGTCTCCGGCCAGCGCGCGCGGCACCGCATCCGAGGATAAACGACTTCAAGCCGAATCTGTCCGAGCCCGTACGTCTCACACAATCAGAGAGTAAAAATACGGTATATTTTACGGGAAAATACTCAAACGGGAAGACAGCGGGAAAAGAGCTAAAATACGTGAGAAACCCGGAAAAAACGGGAGGGTTGACAGCTATGTCTATGGGTGACGTCACAGACGCTTTGTCCATATTTTTTACAGTCTATGGTCTCATATTGACACTAAACAGTCTCATGTGCGTCGGATGTTGGCGCGTGGTCAAAAGCGTCAGTTAGGTGACGCCTTGGGATGAGAATGGGCTGTATATAGTATATATTGCTTTACATGAGTGTACTTCAAGTGTGTTGTACATTTTGAAAATAAAAATAAAAATACTTATATTAGCTCTATGTCAGAGCTGTTAATTCACTATGTAGTGATATTGATGATTACGATACCTGTAAGTTTTGTTCTATACGCCTGATGAATAATTGTAGTCAATAGATGAGGTTGTGGGAGTCTTTGAGGCCTGTCCAGGATTGAGTGGGACAGTGTTTGGGAGCAGCAGAAGTTCTCCTGTGATGGAAGATCGTAGAGAAGCAGACGTTGAATCTTTGAGATGGACCTCGAGCTGGTCACATGCACATGTTGTGATTTGCAGATGTCGAAAAGACCATGAATAGACCAATATTAGCATAGTTTCATTTTAACCCCTTAACTGTCACCGTCCCGGTACCAGGACGCCTAACTTTACTTCACTATATTTCTATTAAATCCTAATCTAATTATGACAAATTATACATCGTTGGAAAGGTCTACGACTTCTAAATAGATATTCTACCCCTGTTTTGTGTTAAAAACTATGTAGGAAGAGTAACTGATGAATTTATGACAAGAGTGCACCTCAAAAAATCTGCATCATAACAGGAGTTTTCACCGTTGTCACAAAAAGTCGATGCACCCACTTTTAATCATTGAAACTTCGGTTTTTATGCTAAAAGTTAATAATAAAACATATAATCTAGTATTTTTCAATAAAAAATATAGTATAATATTATCCTCTAAAAATGATAATATTTATATTTATTATCCTCTAAAATATAATATTATTTTTTTATCGCCTTTTTTCTATTATATCACATATTTTAGTAGTTATCATAAATTAGGTATCATTTGAAAGCTTATAAACTCAGAATTCATCATGAGAAAACTTTTATGATTGAATGTTGCGTTACCATAGAAACGGTACTTATTTTATCAGGCTCCTCCCCTTTTGGGCGTCATTATATTTCATAATTTATCATCAAAACCTTTTCTAATCTTGACAAAATTGATATTGTCAGAAAGGTCAGAGTCTCGAGTTCTAAATTCAATGGAATTCAATGGCACCCGGTGGCTATTTTTGGTACTACGCCTAAACAAAATCTCATGGGAACTTCAATTTTTGTGATATCAACTTCAAATTTGGAACATAACTTGATAAGATTTGTGGCTTTGATTTTATAGAAATTTTAGAGTAAAAAAATATTTTGTAAAATATATATTTTATATAACCAAACTTGGGTATATATTCCAAAACCATTTAAGTTTGAATAGTGCATTTTAACCCCCATTCTCAAAAAGGGGGGTGACAGCTAAGGGGTTAAAGCAGACTTAATAATCTACTTTTAAGACTATTAGTGGAAAAGCATAATGCATACTGGATGATATGTCTTCATACTGAATTGATTGTTCGCTCTGTGTCAGGCTCTGAAGTCGAAGCATTTGAACCGCTACATATCTGGAATGGGCGACCCCCAGTCAGACTACCAGCTGGATGTAGATGTGTCGGGCCTCATCTTCTCCCATCATCCTCTCTTCAGCCGTGAACACGTGCTGGCGGCCCGTCTCGCCCAGCTGTACGATCAGCATCTGACCAGACAGCACAAGAACCTCACGCGACTCCTGACCGACAAGGTAACGCAGAAGACGGCCATCAAAACCAAACCTCCTGTTCTTAAAACTCATTCTGAATGTGTGTGTGTGTAGTTGAACGGCTTGAGGAACACGATACATAATATGCTGGAGCTACACAGAGGAGAGGCTCTGAGTCAGGTGACCCAGCAGAGGATGGCAGAGTACAAACAGGAAGTGAGGTAAGAAACAATGCACTTAAAGTACTTGAATTTGACCTTGAAAACCCTTGAAAACTATGGCAAGCCGTGTTAGCTTTTATTCATTTCCAGGATATGAATTCTTAATATCAACAATTGTATTTTCTCTAGTGAAATGTCTGCCATTCAAAAACAATTGTTGATATCAAGAATTGATTTTCTTACTAGTTGAAATTCCAATTTCACATTTCAGAAATACAATTATTACTAGTAAAAACCTTTATTTTTGATATCAAGAATTCAGTTGTTACTAGTTGAAATTTCTATCCTTGATATCCACAATTGAATTGCTACTAGTAACAATGATCATTTTTGATATCAATAATTACATTTTTACTAGTGACAATGTTAATTTCTGATATCATGAATGTGATTGTTACTAGTAAGAAAGCTATTTTAGATATCTGAAATAATACTGATTTCAGAAATACATTTTCAGATATCAAAAATGATCATTTTTACTAGTAGCAATAGCAATTGAATTGCTGATATCAAGAATAGACATTTCAACTAGTGACAATTTAATTATTGATATCAGGAATTCACATTTTTACTAGTAACAATGTAATTATTGATATCAAAATGATATTTATACTAGTAAAAAATCAATTCTTGATATCAACAAATTAGTTTGAATGACAGCCTATGGTGACATTTCACTAGTGAAAATACAATTACAGATATCAACAATTACATTTTTTGATATCAAGAATTCAATTGTTGATATCAAAAAATGTAATTGTTGATATATCAAGAATTCATATCCTGGAAATGAATAAAAGCTAAAACGGCTTTCCATTGAAAACAGCCATATTTGTGAAGAGGTACTTGAAAAGTGACTTGACTTATTTAACCCTCAAGTGCTCTTCGGTCATTTCTGACCAGAAAATTTTCTGTTTTGAATTTCTAAAAATCACAGCTTCATCGGAATGTTTCGAAACTTGGTGACTTTTATGGGATTATGTATGTGAATACAAAAAAAAATTGAGGTCATGATCCGAGTATGCTAAGTGGTTGTAAAAAAAAATAGTCACACTTGTGGTCTTCGGTCAAAAATGACCGACCCATAGGAAATGAATGGGAAATTGACAAAAAAAAAATCTCTGAATTTTTGTACGTGCAATCGACAAATCGGCCACAATTGTAAAAAAAAAAAGTACACCGCAGGAAAGGGGTGACACTCTACAACATCTAGAGTGCAAAGCAGACACACCCACCAACACACACACACATACAAACACACTTTTATACACATACACACCAATAAATTTTGATTACAAAAAGTATGTTTTGAATTTTTAAAAATCACAGCTTCATCGCAATGTTACGAAACTTGGTGACTTTTATGGCATTATGTATGTGAACACACACAAAAAAATTGAGGTCATGATCTGAGCATGCTAAGTGGTCTTAAAAAAAAATAGTCACACTTGTGGTCTTTGGTCAAAAATGACCCCCATAGGAAATGAATGGGAAATTGACAAAAACACAAAAATTCACAAATTTTTTTTTTAATTTGTTTTACTTTTTTTTTTTTTTTATAAAAAATCGTTTTTGAGATTGTTTAAACTATATATTCAAATCCACAAAAAAAAATGTGTTCATAAACATCTGGGGAATTCACATGCATCTCCATATAGAGCTCTACATGCTATCTAGATTCTACGCTTTTTCTCTATACTGTAACCAGATGGTGCTAATTTTCTTCAAAAAATAATTTTTTTCTGAAGGCCTGGACTCTATATTAAACTAAAATACTGCATTAATAATTTTTTGAAAAAAAATAATATATATATAGAAAAATCTATATTTTTTCCATGGCAAAAATAGACCATAAATATTGCATAAATACTAATAAATTCAGTCATATTGTCTCAAATACTAAATTACAAAGAATAAATATTATAGAACAAAAATAAATTGCGTTCGTTTTACTGGGATGGAGGAAATTTAATTTTTAGGTGTCCGGTCACTTTCGACAGGGAAGATAACAAGTGTGACCCCGAAACGAAGAGCACCTGAGGGTTAAATACAATATATATGTTAACACAAATGCAATCTTTTCACGCAAAATTAACACTGCAGCCCATCTGATACCATTAGATCTTTCGAAGTATGCCAACATTATAATATAAAAAAATGATTTATTAAACAATAATAACCATTATAACCTTTGTATTCAATATATATATATGTATATATATTATTAAATAATATATCATCATAATCTGTAAATGTTTATTCTGACTGAACCCAACTGTGATACTTTTATTCTCATGTTTTTTTATTATAATTTGTAATACTATGTTTCTTGTTGTATGTGTAAATGTGTACTGGAAGCTTCAGCACCAACACAAATTCCTTGTGTGTGCAAGCACACTTGGCACTAAAGCTCTTTCTGATTCTGATTCTGAAATACATTGTAAGTTGTATTTTGGATGCTTTAAATCTGTAATTTAAGTTGAAAAAATCCTTAACAAATACTAAAGATATTGTTCTATAAATGCGATCTCTGATTGGAGCCCTTCAAAACCAAAAAAGTACTATTTAATTTTACAGTATCTGTACGAACCCTGAAGAAACTAACAATCTCCTCCACCTTCAGTGTTATATTTCTGCATTCTCCTGTATTGTCAGACACACTCGTCAGTTGCGAGATGTGGAGCAGGACAAGGACCGAGCTCTCCTCAAAAGCATCATCAGAGTGTGGAAGGAGCTCAAAGCTCTCAGAGACTTCCAGAGATTCACCAACACGCCGTTCAAACTCTTCGTCAGGAGGTATGTCATCATATGCCACGTGTCACATGTTTTGTGCTTTGTGTAATGGGACATGTGGCTTTGCCTCTGCAGGGAGAAGGTGGAGCGAGAGCAGGACGAGCAGGAGTATGAGAATGACATCATGGCGGAAGTGGAAGAGCTGCAGGCGGAGACTGAGGAAGACTATCAGAAGAAGATGAGTGAATACAGAAGACTACATGAGGAATGGAAATCCTGGAAGAGAAAACAGGTACCACTACACATGCAGTCTCATTGGTCCTGCAAATCATGGTCCATGTCAATAGCCACTTATATCTTCTCTTAAAAACTACCGTTTATCCATTCATAATCCTGTTTGAAACCACAAACGTGCTTCTGATTCTCTCAGAAAGTCTTAAAGAAAAAGCAGAAGAAGAAAAGACAGCAGGAGGAAGAAGAGGAGGATGAGGAGAGTGAGGAGGAGTTGGGAGAGGAGCCAGAGAAGCCGGATCCTCCAGAGAAACCAGACACAGGCTCCCTGGAAGAGCAAGTGCGGGAGAAGGCTGCCAGGATCCGCAGGAAACCTGGAGAACCGGTTCTGATCCCAGAACTTACCGTCTCCGGGCCCATCACCCCCAATGAGCAGTGTCCACGGTGAATGAACACACACTGATACACTTACCTCAGACCTTAAGGGTACTGAGTGTCTTTATAAAGATAAATAAATGAGGGCCGTTCACACAGAATGTGTTTTTTTCCATTTCACCGCTCCACTTTTCCATTGTTGTCGTGTTTGACCGCTGCACTCGAATCTTTTGCATGACGTGGCATTCTAAAAATGTGGCGCTCAAGTTAAAATGAGTTCAACTTTAAAGGTGCCCTATCCACAAGTTTCCTACGTCCCATGAGGCCTTGCGTCAAAAGTGGGCGCGACTTCCGGTAGGAAGTAAACAAAGCGCGATTTGACATGCTTGACGCTCGTTCAATCAACAGTTGACAGTCGTTCAAGTTATAGCGATCCAAACTAGCTAACGATGTGGGAACACAACCTCAACGAAATTCAAAAGGGTGAAATAACAGTACCTTTACCCTCCGCAGTAGCTGATTGGGAGTATTATAATAACATTAATAATCAATACTCATCAAGGCATGGTGACAGACAGTTGTGTGAGCTGACAAACAATTAAAATAAAAAATACACACTTAGTCATTGTGCTTTGGAGTTTATTCAAAATTATAAATGAATGTGCTGCTTGAATACATTAACTGGCACATTTGGTATTCTGTCAACACAGGCTTTGACCCTGAGTTTAGGTGTAACATCAGTAGCGAACAGCCAATCACATGCTGATAGAGTTTATAGAACATTAAGAATTTAAACAAATGTACACAGGAAGATTCGTCGTCTTTTGGGAGGTGATGGAAACTACAGTCGTTGGCAGGATCACTCTGATTTCGTTTTCAGCTTATGTTCAAAACAATCCCGTTTAAGCCACTAAATTAGTTTAGTCCGGTTATACATACAACCGCGAACAGCACATGTTGTCCCTGAGCTCCGTAACGACATCTCTCATAAAGATTTGCGTCTTTAAATAGTAAAATAATTCTCCGAAAAACAGCTAGCCTCTTCGCTAACTAACACACAAAATACCATTGGAGTGCTACTTCCGCCGCCTCACCGGAAGTTTCACCCACTTTATTTTTTACAGGAGCGCCCCTCGGAAACTTGTGGATAATGTTTTTTTAAATTATTTTATAATGTTTCCTAGGTTGCCCTTATAATGTTAGTATGTTTTTTAGATCAAAAATAGTCATAATTTAGAAATAAAAGGCATTTTTCCTAGCCTGATTTTAGCCTCTGCTTTGAACACCCGGTTTGGTGGCCTCTGGCCTCTGCTGTGATTGGCTGACGTGCTTGCATATGAAATAGCTATGTATTACATGTGAAACTCTCTCGAATAATTTTACTCCAGCTATTATAGGTTTTTACTATTACAGCCATCGAGATTAACGAATCGTGAGATGTTTTTGAAGTATTTAGATCTATTTCCATCACATAAAGTGTTGCTGTGATTGTATGTCGATCGCGAGAATGAAGATCTTATCATTGCAATGCAGTCTCTCTAACGTTACTCTCTAATGCAGCAGACACGATGATGTAAATACAGTTAACGCTAGAGCTTCGTTGTGCAGAGTAACGTTTAATATATTTTGGGTCATACATATTAATGATCCCGACTGTTGCGTCAGAGTCGGTATTATGTGGAGATTCGCCTGTTTTTCAGGGGTGTTTTTCAAAAACGAGATTTAAGTGTGAAGGAGAAAACAATGATGACTCACTGTATGTCATGTCCATGTACTGAACTCTTGTTATTTAACTAGGCCAACATAAATTCAATTTCACATTATAGGGCACCTTTAAAAAGCAATTTTTTGCTTCACATACCTACGTTTTGTGTGAAAAGCGCCATTACAGTATTATCCAAGGTAAGCAACACTAAGGGGACGTTTACACGACAACGATATGCTGAGAAGTTTTTCATGTTTTTGTTGGTTACAAAACCTGGTTTCAAATGATTGCGTTTTCAGGCAACTGTAAATGAACGGCCAAAATGCATACAAATTTTTAATTTTTAGTTGAAAACGGTGTCGTGTAAACAACCCCTTTCTTTTGCTCTTATTTGAGGTTAGTGATTTGAACAAACCCTTTAACCTAGGGATGCCCAATCCTAGAGATCTACCTTTTTCTCACGTGAATAGGGTAAAAAATTTGAACCTTTAGAAAAATACTGAGTTGATTACTTGTATCGAGATAAACAAAAAATGTATTACAAGTTTTTTTTCTTTCTTGTTTGTTAACATGGGCAAACAATGCATAATCTAACTACATATGTGACAATTTGCATAAATAACACAACGTATATAAACATTGGGTATAGCCATAGCCAGGTGAAAATGTCTTGTAGAAGCTTGGTGACGTCTTACAGTAAAAGTCTGCTAGTAAACGCCCTTTTTTTAGCATGTTTAATCAGCGTATTGTGCTAGTTGTCCATTGGCTTTGTGGTTTGTTAAGGCCGCGGACATTTAGCACAACACAGTCCGACTCGCTGCTGCTAGTTCTTTGATGCTGGTTTGATGTGTCTGGGGCTTTAGAAAGTCTGGCTCTGGCAAACACCATTATAACCTTGGTGACCACTCAGGACCAAACAACTCCCTGAAAACCCCATCAACCCTTGCATTGTTTCAGTCGCTTTTACCAGGGTAAAGACTCAGAGTTTCTCCAGAAAAAGTAAACTAGTTTTCGTATGTGCCTTGTCTAGTGCCGAGTTTGCTCGCAGAGAGGATGTGTCCAAACGTGCCCTCTTCATCAAGGTCCTGTACAACGATAAAGAAGTTTCCAGAACGGACAGTCGAGCCCTCAACATGGATTTCAGAGTCCACTTTGGTCAGATCTTCAACCTGAAGATTGTGAACTGGCCAGAAAGCATCAAACTGCAGGTACGGTTGGGTTCAGTGTATATGCACAACTCCATTGCCGTGTGTGTGTGTGTGGGTTTAAGACGTTCTGGATGTTGTCTCGCAGGTGTTTGAGGGTGTCGGCTCGTCTTCCGCCCTGCTGGTGGAGGTGTGTGTGCCGGTTCCCGAATCCTCTGTCCTGACCGGCAGTGCACCATCTGAGGAGATGGAGTTCAGCAGCAACCAGAGAGTCACCTTCAACCACGAGGGCGTCGGCAGTGGTAAGTACGGGATAATGTACATCCAGCCAGGGTGATGAAGACCTCGACGTGAAACAGAGTTGATATATTTTATTAGTAGGGCTGTAGTCAACCAAAGAAATCCTTAGTCGACCAAAGTCTTGTACTGCGCAACGATTAGTCGACTAAAAAAAAAACATGTGATGTTTTGATTAAACATTTTTTAAACAATTGTCATTGAGCATTTATAAAACAACAACGAAAAAACATCACAAATAAATACAACTATAATACTAATACAATTCTTTGAAAATTAAGTGAATTTTTAACTGCAAAAAGTGAAGAGCTCTGTCCTCGGTCTATAGTAACAGTCACAATGGCTATCTGCCACATAATGAAAAATCCCAACAAAAGCTCTCGTTTATACAGGCTTTATATTCTTCTTTACTTTCAAAGCTATGGGTTAACTTTCGTCGTGACGATCAAGGCGTTTTAAAACAACCCAAATAGCCTAAAAACAATCCTAATAATAGGCTGTAGGACCGCGTATAGGTTTATTTTCGTTTTGTTGCATTATTTAGGCTATTTTCAAAAGCGTCAAGTGTACAAATAAAAACGAAAACACAATCTATTGCGTCAGCATGATGTAGCCGTTAAAAGGCTGCTCACGTCTTTTGCGCGCTCAAGTTCGATTTCAAATTGAGGCGCGCGACTTGCGCGCTCATAATAGAGCAACGCGATCGCCTCCCTCCACAGTCTTGTCGTCTTTGTTTTAAAATGCAGCCAGACAAAAGATTTAGATTTCCTGGACATTTTGTCGACTAAAGCCAAAACAAGCAGCGTTCTAACTGAGTGAATACAGCATCCCTTACCGAGCGCGAGCAGCAGCGCAGCCAACCACAGGTGCGGTTCCCGAGTGTATTATGTGTGTGCGCTAAACTCTGGCGCAGTTACAAAAATAGCCTAAATTAAAGCATTTTAAAGTTGGGGATAAAACAAAGGCTAATTATATTTAGAATACAGTAATAAATAGTGGCTTATAAAGGAATAAATATCAAGGAGTAAATCATTGAAAAATGTATTTCTATTGGTAAAAAAAAAAAAAAAATGCAACTGGTCGACCAATAAGAATGTCAGTCGACCAAGACGGCATCGACCGATTAGTCGACTAAACGACTAAAGTTGACAGCCCTATTTATTAGCTCACCAAATGCAAAACTTCCACGAAGAAAAAACGTTCTTATCAAGTGTTTCAGTGACCCGGATGAGCCTGTGTTTCTGTTTTCAGTGGTTGTTATCCGGGAGTAACTTACCACTGGATGGTTAAATTAACCATTAATCAGAATGAAGTATTTCCCAGAGCCATCACTAAACGAATTTCTGTGCGTCATCGTCATGCCCCCCAAAGCAAAGGCTGTCTCAAACTGCAGGAAGCCAAACGATTCAGCCTCCAGATTGTTTAATATCTCATTTGTGGTAGGTGTCCCGTTCTCTTTCGAGGCTGACGGCACCAGCACACAGACCCTGCTGACGTCAGGGAAGCTCTCCTGCTGCGTCTCATGGGCTGTAGGGGAGGATGACGTCCCCCTCGCTCCCCCGTCCAGTCAGCCTGGAGGGGGCAAGTACAGGTCAGAGACCCAGCCCTGCATTGGTGGATTGTTGTCAGAGTTGTGCTGGATAAGATGGACTGTTTCTCTCTCTTCAGTGGTCTTGGGCAGATGGACGCTATAGCCTGTATCGGGGCATCTAGTCTGAATGATATGAAGAAATTGGGGAAGTGGGCGGCTGAGTCTCGCCTCGACCCTAACGACCCCAACAACACCTCCATAATGCAGCTGCTCTCGGTACATTTCCCAGATGTCTTGAATGCTCCTTTAATCATTGCGGATCACAAGGCTGTGCCTATTAGCCATTCTAATTTGAAAAAAAGGCAGAAACCTTGATATTGATGGTGAAATATGCAGTTTAATCATTTAAAAATATATCTTTGAGTACTCAACTCTCTAGTATTCTTGGTGTAGGTGGTGAGTGGTGGAGATGTGGCGGCTCCTGAATACTTTCGTCTGGAGCAGCTTCAGGAGGAGTTTAATTTCCTGACCGATGAGGAGCTGCAGCGTTCCCGCCGCTTCCGTCTCCTGAGGCTGCGGAGTCAGGAGGTGGCGGAGTTCAGGCACTTTAAATGCGTCCCCTCCATGGAGCGTGAGATATCCCCAAAAGTGTTCCAGGTGAGATCAGAACCATAGACTGCAAAAAATATGTGTCCGTGACATCACCCGTAGGTTTCTGAAGAGCATTTTTGAAGCCCAAAGTGGGCAGAGCCGGCCGTCGCCATCTTGGCAGCACGTCACTCCCGCATAACAGAAAATCGGCAAAGAGTCAAGTCAAGTCAAATATATTTATATAGCGCTTTTCACAATACAGATTGTATCAAAGCTGCTTCACAGTATCAATCAAGACAACATAACAGTGTTTGTTTATTCATGAAAAGACAATCACGTTTGGTAGAGCTGATCAATGGTATGATGGGTCATTTAATTTGACTATCCCCAACTGAGCAAGCCAAAGGCAACAGTGGCAAGGAACCGAAAAACTCCATCAAGTGACCCAATGGTGTCCTAAAACTCCATCAGATGACCCCTTGGGAGAACCGAGGCTCAGTCGGGGGTATGGTTGGGTATCGTTTGAATTTAAACGATTCTGATTCCGATTCCTTGTTTCGATTCCGGTTCCTAACGATTCTCGATTCCGATTCTTTTAAGAGGCAGGGTCAAAAAAGTTTAGCTAACCTTGCTAACCAACGGCCTTTCTGAAGAAAATAATCCTTTCTGAAGGATATACTCCTTCTGTCACAAATTTTGCATTTTGCCGAGATTTCGTTATTTTTAGAAAAGTGAAGCCACACTTTGGACCGCCGACGTAAGCTACTCATGTTCGAATCGCGCGGTTATGCCAACACTTCCGGTAGACGCTTCTTCGTTGGTGTTGTTCAGCGGTTTCTTCTTCCGCTCGGCGGACTGTGAATATCGAAACTAGGAATCGAAATTTTAACTTTTGAACGATTCCGGGAAAAACGAAAAATTTGTCCCGATTCCAATCGATACTCGATTCTCGATACCCAACCCTAGGCGGGGGCCTGTTCTGGCGTTTAGGAACTAGAGGCCAAATTTACAGTAACTGTAAGATAAAAAATGTATATGAATGCCAGGCTAAATAAATGCGTCTTTTTTGTCTAGTTTTAAACTGGGAGAGCGAGTCTGAGCAAAGAACAATATCAGGAAGGCTATTCCAGAGCTTCGGAGCTAAATGTGAAAATGCTCTCCCTCCTTTGGTGGATCTGGATATCCTAGGAATGACCAGAAGCCTCGAATTTAGTGATCTTAAAGAGCGCGATGGATTGTAGGGCGATAGAAGATCTGTTAAATAGACTGGAGCTAAACCATTTAGAGGCGGATTAGCTGAGGTGACGTGATGCTAACAGACAGCAGACAAACAGCTAGTAGTGACGGCAGCGGAAATACACTCAAGTGGCCATGCCCCTAATTATGGCTTAAAAGGATAGTTGAAATTAATTTTTGGTATGTTTAGCTTACCTCATAGGCATCCAAGATGTAGGTGTCTTTGTTTCCACAGTATTTTCAATTTTGATATTTTTAGGTCAAACCGTTCGTGTCTGTCAGTCATATAATGCAGGTCTATGGTCACCACCTCAAAGAGCATGCACAGAGAAGTCCAAATTAAACATGATTTAATGACTCGTAAATGTAAGAACACATTGATGGCCTAAGACACGAAACGAGCGGTTTGTGTGAGAAAACCAACAGTATTTATATCGTTTTTACCTCTTGTAATCATAGCCACGTCCAACTGATCTGAGGCCATGGGCGCTTTGTGGCTGTGGTTACAAGAGGTAAAAACAATACAATTAATGTTCGTTTTCTCACACAAACCGCTCATTTCGTGTCTTAGGCCATCAATGTGCACTTACATTTACGAGTCATTAAATCATGTTTAATTTGGATTTCTCTGAGCATGCTCTTTGAGGTGGTGACTTAAAATTAATTTCAAAGTGAACTTTCCCTTTAATATAATTTAAACGGATGAGTTGTAAAAAAAAAATCACCTTCCTCACAGTTTTCATGAAGGGCAAAATTAGCTATATAGACCAAAACCACTTTTTGCTCCAGGCGGTAGACATGTTTGTTTTTTTGTTTTTTTTTCCTGATGTAACATTTTAACATGGGGGTCAATGGGATTGACTCTCTTTTGGAGCCTGTCTCTAGTGGCCAGTCACTGAATTGCAGTTTAAGTCACTTCCGTGTTGGATTCAAGATCGGATGGTTTCCGCTTGGTGAATGTCGGCCTGTGTCCAACATTGTTATAACAGAACTGTCTGTGAAGTGGTGGGCGTCCTAAGATTGTCCAGACTACATGAATGGCCAAGGGCTTCAAAGAGATAATGGTTGAAAAAGATATATAAAAATGGAAAGACTGTCCAGGTAGGAGTCGAAAGTTGCATTTAAAAATTAAATTGAAATTTTTTTAAAAAAATGGTCAATTATTATAGTTTATTGTAGTGCCACCTAGTGTCGAGTAGATGTCTGTGCAAGGTGTCATGGCAAGTCTGAATGAAATGGACAGTTAATGTAGGTTTCCAGAACCTGCAGTGCAATCTTTTTAGGAAGTATGTACCTGTAATCAGTTCATATGTAAGAACAAATGGGTGGATTTGTGTCATCGTTTTGTTTCAGGATTATGAGAAGAGACTAAAGGATGGCGAGATCATCAATACAAAAGATCACATTGATTCACATCGAGCCCTCGTGGCCAAATATCTGCAAAGAGTGAGTTTTGAGTTATTTTGCTTTCTTTCTTTCTTACATGGACTAGCGTTCAAAAGTTTTGGGTCGGGAAGATTTTTACAAATATTTTTGAAAGAAGTTTCTTAAGCTTGCCTTTATTTGATCAAGAATAGGGCAAATCAGTACTTTTTTTGAAATATTATTACAATTTACAATAGCTGTTTTCTATTTGAATATACGATGGTAAAATGTAATGTATTCCTGTGATCAAAGCTGAATCTTCAGCATCATTACTCCAGTCTTCAGTGTCACATGATCCTTCAGAAATCACTCTAATATGAGGATTTGATGCTCAAGAAACATTTATGAATATTATTATTAATGTTGATATTTTTATGGAAACAGTCTTTTTTCAAGTTTCATGTAAGAAATTAAAAAAAAACAGCATTTATTTAAAGAAAATAAATCTTTATATATGTCTTTACTGTCACTTTTGATTAATATAATGCATCCTTGATGAATAAAACTATACATTAATATAAAATAAAAAATCATATCGACCCTAAATCTCTTTTTTTCTGTTTTGTCTTATGTTTTAAACGTGAAAAGACAGCGGACATTAATGCCAGTTGTGTATAGGATGAATGTGGATTGGTCTGCAGATCAAATTCCCTCTCAAATTCTCTGTTTGTCTCTCTGTGTCAGGTCCGGGAGTCAGTCATTAATCGCTCCCTTATAGCGAAGCATCATTTCATCCTGTCCGATGTGGTTTCGGAGGACGAGGTTCCCAGCATCGGGTAAAACGTCTCTATTGTTGATCTCATTAGACTTTAACTATTGAGGCGTCCTCATCTTTAAGACTCCGCCCACTCCTAGATGTCATTTTCAGATATCAAGCTAAATCCAGTCCATGCACTGTTGTATTTGATTATATAGAAGCAGTTTATGGTATGTTCAGTGTTGTTTGAGCACCAGTTTTTATCTAATCTGATTATCTGTATGAAGTGATCTTTATTTGACAGCTTTTGTATTTTATTTCTCTTTTTTTTCTCCTGTTTGTTTGTATATTCAGTGGTCCAGGTGCTGGGTATGTTCTGAGGATTTTTCTGTTCTTTTTTTAGTCTTTTGTATTACTTGATTTTCCTTGTGTTCCTCCCCTCAGATCTGTGTGTTCATGAGATGCCATTTTCTGTAGAATTAGTCAGTGTAAAGTATGTTAGAGGAGTCCAGTCCCACACTGCAGAGTGTGTGTGTGTGTGTGTTACTGTGGAAATCACACACTGAGAGAGTGTTTGTGTGTTTGATCTGCTGTACACTCACCTAAAGGATTATTAGGAACACCTGTTCAATTATCTAATCAACCAATCACAGGGCAGTTGCTTTAATGCATTTAGGGGTGTGTTCCTGGTCAAGACAATCTCCTGAACTCCAAACTGAATGTCAGAATGGGAAAGAAAGGGGATTTAAGCAAGTTTGAGCATGGCATGGTTGTTGGTGTCTGAGTGTTTCACAATCTGCTCAGTTACTGGGATTTTCACACACAACCATTTCTAGGGTTTACAAAGAATGGTGTGAGAAGGGAAAAACATCCAGTATGCGATGGCAGTCCTGTGGGCGAAAACGCCTTGTTGATGCGAGAGGTCAGAGGAGAATGGGCCGACTGATTCAAGCTCATAGAAGAGCAACTTTGACTGAAATAACCACTCGTTACAACCGAGGTATGCAGCAAAGCATTTGTGAAGAAGACACAACACACACAACCTTGAGGCGGATGGGCTACAACAGCAGAAGACCCCACCGGGTACCACTCATCTCCACTACAAATAGGAAAAAGAGGTGACAATTCGCAAGAGCTCACCAAAACTGGACAGTTGAAGACTGGAGAAATCTGATGAGTCTGGATTTCTGTTGTTCATTCAGATGGTAGAGTCAGAATTTGGCGTAAACAGAATGAGAACATGGATCATCATGCCTTGTTCCCACTGTGCAGGCTGGTGGTGGTGGTGTAATGGTGTGGGGGATGTTTTCTTGGCACACTTTAGGCCCCTTAATGCCAATCGGGCATCGTTTAAACGCCACGGCCTACCTGAGCATTGTTTCTGACCATGTCCATCCCTTTATGGCCACCATGTCCCCATCCTCTGATGGCTACTTCCAGCAGGATAAGGCACCATGTCACAAATCTCGAATCATTTCAAATTGGTTTCTTGAACATGTCAATGAGTTGACTGTACTAAAATGGCCGCCACAGGCCCCAGATCTCAACCCAATAGAGCATCTTTGGGATGTGGTGGAACGGGAGCTTCATCCCACAAATCTCCATCAACTGCAAGATGCTATCCTATCAATATGGGCCAACATTTCTAAAGAATGCCTTCAGGACCTTGTTGAATCAATGCCACGTAGAATTAAGGCAGTTCTGAAGGCGAAAGGGGGTCAAACACAGTATTAGTGTGGTGTTCCTAATAATCCTTTAGGTGAGTGTATGGTGAGTGCTGATAGTGTGTTTAGAGCAACAGTACTAGTGTATGTACAGTATGTACTCAACCTCATGTTGTTACAAACCCATATCCTCAAAACACAGCAAAGCAAACACACACCCATTGAGGTGCAAGTTAAAGGAAAAGCCTTAATAGAAAGAGAATATAACTGCACACACTCTTAATGTCCCCCTGTGGTGAAAGTCAAGTTTTTAAAGTCCCCGTGAAATCAAAATTGAACCTATTTACTTTGTTAGCGCATATTACTGGTCTTGTGGTGAACAATTAATCCGTGCAAGTAAAAATATATTTAAAAAATGTTTTACCTTGGTAATCTTTAATCAAAATCTGAGAAGTTACTTCCGGTCTGGAACGGTTTCTTTTTCTGATGACGTAGGTTTCACAGTTTGGGTGGGGAAACGCTTAACCACTCCCCTCAAACCGTTAGTTTGCTATGAGCGAGAGATGGAGAGGAGGAGCGCTAGAGTAAAACCCTGCCCTCTGTTCAATATTCCGTTTCACTTGGAAATACGTCACAGCACTGGAGAAAAATCGTTTGCAACTTCCGGTTCACGGGGACTTTAATGTTGATTATATGTCTATGTGATGTTTTTAATACGCTTTAAGACACACCATGTGTAAGTTCATAACTAAGTGGACAGCATTGCTGAGTATTTCCTCCTTAAAACTGCAGTGAACCAAAGACAGTCTCAAAAACACGGTGTGAAATCGCTGGTGTTTCTGACGCCACAAACCACCTTGTAACCAATCAGATCAACGTGTGACTGTTAACCAGTGGATCTCTGAGTGAGTGAGTGGAGGCGGGGCTGATTTGCATATTCATAGAACCGCATATACTAAATGAGGCAAGGGTGTCGAGTTACATTCAAGATATTTTAAGTCATGAAGACTTTAGAAGTTTAAATATGTACCTCAAAGATGAGGTTTAAGGGATAAAATTATTGACTACAGGGGGACTTTAAGCACATTTTATTATTTGTGTCACAACAAGTAGCCTTTGTCAAGGTATAATTCCTTGCAGAGGTAGGAATTATCCCTTGATAAAGGCTACTTGTTGTGCCGAAATGTTGATAAAATAAAATCTGCTTTAGGGAGTGTGCAGTTAGATTCTCTTTGCATTATGTTCCAAACCCATATGACATTTCTTTCTTTGTAGAGCACTAAAGGAGAGTTTTAGCTGAATGTTCAAGCTGCTCTTTTCCATATTATTAAATCATAAATCGACCAACATTAAAAAAAAATGATTAAAGCTCTGTGTGAGGAACAGGCTGAAAGATAATCTTCTCTGCTTAAGCTTTCACAGCCACAGTGATATTCAGAACAGCAGTATTATTGCGAGTACGATATTGCTTTTATACAGCAGATCAATAAACAAAAACATTTTAGACACAATATTACTCAGTTACTTTGGCTCTGCCAGCTAAAATAATTCTAAACTAAGTCAGTGTTGAATCAACACTAGTGTTTTTGAATGAATCAGTTGAGTAAATAATTCAATGACTCGCTCGTAAAGAGAGTGGGTCTCGTTCACCAATAATTACGTCGATTGTTTGTATTTTCACCCACAGGAGAACGTCTCAACTTAAAGTTTAGCCTAACACACAATTCATGTGTACGCACAATTGCACATGCATTTTTTTCTTAACCTCGTTGTAATGTTAATGGGTGAGTGGAATGAGTGCTCACGTGCCCCATGGTAGTAATTTGCATAAAACACACCCAGAGCATATAATATGCATATTAGGGCTTTTTTCACCACCTTTGCTTTATAGCCTTTTCTTACTCTCAGAAACCAAAATTAAAATATCCCCACATCATCACACACCATTCACCACACCTAGAGATCGTCATGGTTTTACTTCAGTTAGCCTAATAGCTGGTTTGATTTGCATTGAAAGATGATCTTATGGAAAGTACCCCATGCCAATCTCTAGGTGTGGTGAATGGTGTGTGATGATGTGGGGATATTTTAATCCCAAAGGCCAAGGGAACTTTATCAGGATGCATATTATCCTGGATCCATGAAATAACTGGCTTTTAAAAATAAAAATCTGCCTGACTCTATGGGAATTTAACACAGGGGTGCCGTGACTTATGCACCCTGTATTTTGAGGAAAAACATTTATTTATTTATGATACATTATTCATTCACAAAGAAAATTGGTGTCCTTAAAGGTTGGAGTTTTCCTCATTTTTCTAATTAAGGCATTAAGATCAATATCAAAAAGATGATTTTTTATTCCTCTTTTTAGGCAACTTTAGCATGGGTGCCAAAACTTATTCATACCACTGTATATATATATATACACACACACACACACACACATACTATTATTTAAATGAGCAAAATTTATGATGAGATGTGCTCCAGTTCACCTGCAATGCAATCGCGCCGCGCCTCCATATCATGATCATAGTGTCTGCTATATTTGTTCTTATTTATTATATCCAGGGAATTGGTTGATAAAAAATTTATTAAAATTTAGGATACAATTTATGCAAAACAAAATTCACTTCAAAGAAAGGCTTTCTACAAAACAAAACTTATTTTAGTGGTCAAAATCATCAAATCTTCTGATATATTGTGCATCTTACTCATCCTGTTCAATTTTCATAATCAGCATTGATGTAAAAAAAAAACCCCATTATAATATTTGAACAAAAATGAAACTAAATGCACTTATTTAATGGCTACTACACATATTATGGGCCTATAGAGACTCTCTTAATATTGAAACTAACATTAACAATGCCGTAGTAGTGTAGTTTATTAACAGTAGCTTAGTTAAATAATCTAATAAAGTGTTCCCGATTTTTTTTATACACCGATTCAGAGGTCTCGTGAGTTCAGTGTTGGATAGGTCACTTGTTTTAATTATTCATTAAAGTGAATGAGTTGTTTGTGTATCAGGCATGTCTAGCCGCGGCTCGCTTGTGGGATTATCTTGGCAGTTTAGGACATTGCGCAAGATTTGCGTCAATACAGAAAACACTTAATCACTGGATTGGTTTTTTCGTTTATTGAAATGTGGTTTATGTCAGCAGAATGGGCGAACGCTTTTTAGAGAAGATGCAACATGTTTTTTAGCACAATTCACACACCGCGGTAATTCAGGAGAAAAAAATCTCCAAATGCTTCACGTGAAACTGCAATCGTCCAACCTTTAACAATCGTTTCAATTGATTTTGATCAATATGCGTGAGGGAGAGAGAGCAAGACATTCGCTGGGCTCTCAAGTCAGTGGAAAATCAAACAGCTTCTGAGAAGGGTCGCAAGTTGAACCAACTTTGAACCGGCACCAGTTCCGAACCCGCTCTTTTTTTGGTGGAATGCCGCTCAATCAATCAAATTCAATACAAATTCAATAATATAACATAGACGTGAAATACTATTTTGTGTGTTCAACATCAGCATGAGCGACTTAAAAAAATGTGAGGCTGATCAAGTCCTGTGTCTCAATGTCTATTGTTCAAGCTCACTAATCCTGCAGTGTGTTATGGGATATCTCCACACTGACCCTCAGCGGATGCTTTTTCAGGGTGTTGGGCTGGAACCTGTTCAAACTGGCCGAGCCCAAGCGGCCCCTGAAGCCTCGCAGGAAGGAGAGGAAGAAGGTGACCGCTCAAAACCTCTCCGATGGAGACATCAAACTCCTGGTCAACATCATCCGAGGATACGACATCCCTGTCCGCAGACTCAGTGCCAGGTACCTGCACACACCCAGGAAGGTTGAGCGATGAGAAGACACTAAACGACTGCGTTCTCTCATGTGTTGTTTGTTGTGTTTTCAGCAAACCCCCTGTGTCGGCTAAGCCTGGGGGCAGCGAGTGGCCCTTCGGACAGGTAACGGCGTGACGGCATCGCTGCACCAATCCTGTACCTTTACTTAAAATTATATTTAAAAGTGCAGTAAGTGATTTCTGAGAGACTTACTGCACTAAGTCTCATATTAGATATCAGTTTATATTAAAAAATCAGCACCCAAACAAACACACCCCTCCCTATGTTTCTCCGCCCCTAAAATAACTACGTTTCAACAGCAACATCAGCATATCTCGATTCACGTGTCGAGCAAAAATAAAGTCTCTCCAGCGCTGGAAAGCTTTTCTAAATATTCATGCTGGCCCTAAAGCTCTTGCCTGATCGCAAACCTTCTTACACCTCTTTGGTAATATCTCCGCTATCTCTCTTTCTATAGTCTAATGTCCTTCTATTTACACCATAGACACACCATATTTTTTCCAGCACATACACAGAACAGACATCTAGCAGAAAGTGACATTTTCAACAGCTTCTCTCAGAAATGGTTGAACTATCTGAGTGTGTGTGCGTTCCAGCCTCTGATCAGGCCGTTTGTGGAGGTGTCTTTCCAGCGCTCAGTGCTTCAGACGTCCACCGCCGAGGGTCCAAACCCCTGCTGGAACGAGGAGATTGTTCTGCCATTCAGGTCAGGCTTGGAGAGCCAGTGTAACATCACATCAGTATGTCTCATTAGCTCTGTTCGTAACTCTAGTGAACGCTCGCTGTCTACATGGGCTTCTGTCTCCTGACTGAAATGAAACCTCACCCGTGGCTCATTTGAAGCACTCTACATTGTCAGCGGCCCCAAGCAACACTCAAATAGCATGTTGCTAAGCTAATAACACAATACTCTGATAAGCATTCAAATCCACAGCACGTAGAACAAAATGGGGTAAAATAGGCCTTTTTTCTTGATATTCTTTAGTATTATATTATTTTAATAAGTATAATTTTTCTTGAAAAATTATAATTTCTTTTTTTCTCTTGAAAAATTATAATTTCTTTTTCTCCAGTATTGAATAAAGTATAAGTATTTTAATATCAGTAGTATCTATTATTTCTTGACAAATTTTATTTTTATTAATATTGTCCGGTGTTTAATGAAACAAATGTATTTTTGTAAATTTTTTAATTAATTTACAATATTTATTAATATTAACTAAATGTATTTTATTGATATTCTTCTGTATTGAATGAGTCATAAAGATTAAACAAATACATTAGTAATATTTATATTTATTTCTTTAAATATAAACATTCTTTAAATATAAAATATTTATTTCTTTGAAGTAAATATATATTTTTATTGATATTCTCCAGTATGACACATGACACACTAAAGATTTAATGAAGTATAAAAACTAAAATGCAATAAATGAAGTATAAAAACTAAATAAATGAAGTATATTAAAACTAAATATTATTAACTAAATGCATTAATAATATTTATTATTTCTTTGAACATATTTTTATTAATATTCTCCATTACTGAACAAAGCATAAAGTTTGTAAAACAATATATATATAAATATAAAGAAATATTCAAAGAAATAGTAATATATATATATATATATATATATATATATATATATATATCATTTACTATTTCTTTGAACATTTTTTTATTATTAATATTCCCCAGTATTGAATGAAGCATAAATATATATTTTAAAAAATTATAAATATTAAAAATTATCATTATAAATTATAAAAAAATAAAAATTATGTATATTAATAATTTTTATTTCTCTTGAAAATTGTCCATTTGTTCTGAGTTCCTTTTTCTCATTGTGCAATGATACAATTTGGCCAGAAAAATGAGGTGTGATAGAAGGCCACATAACGTGCCTTCATATTGGGAGTGGACCTATGATGCCTTAAAGTTCACTGGTCTTTCAGTCAGGTGTGTTATTTCCTCAGTTTAAGTATCATCATGACGCGAATCCTCTTGTTGTCCTCGATCTCCCTCAGCGCGCCGAACGGAGACTACAGCTCCACCAGTCTGCAGTCGGTCAGAGATGAGGTCTTCATCAACATCTTCGACGAGGTTCTCTCTGAACTGATGGAGGTGAGAAGCCTTCAGATGTGTGTCATGTTAGTCTTCATGATGTGACGGTGACACGAGCGGTCGATCTTCCCTCCTTCAGGACGAGAGGGACAGAGGAAACACCATCCACACGCGTATAGAGAGGCACTGGCTCGGCTCCATCAAGATTCCCTTCAGCACCATCTACCTGCAGTCTCGGGCAAGATGCTAAACGCTGACACTTCATACACACATTTCTAATACAAGTCCGCACCAAAACAGCAAAGAGAACCGAACTACAAGCGTGAACGCGCCCTTAAAGGTGCAGTGTGGGATTTTTAGCGGCATCTAGTGGTTCGGTTGCGAGTTGCACTAAGGGCTCATCCCTCCCTTTCGAAGAAGCTACGGTGGCTAAAACGGGACAAGCATATCGTCAGCATATCGTCATATGCGCGCGTCTTTTGCATCAACAAAATGCGATCGATTAATTTGAGAGTCAAGTTGTAATCACGGATCGAACCAAATGAAGATTTTATCGACTGGTTTAGTAGGCAATTGTTTGGAGTTAAAAAATATATAACTCGCGCTGCATATTTAGTAATTTTGCCTCAGAAACTCAGGATTATACATTTGTTTTAACAAGCAGGATGTTCATTCATGCTGAATGCGATTTTCATGTTTAAAAAGTAACTATACATAAGAGAAGAAAAGATGCGGATAACTAAACATTATTTAAGGTTATTTCTATTCGTAATGATATTGATATAGCAGCCTATTAAATGTTGTTAATATCAAGTAACTTTATGCTTTCCTCGTTGCGAACGTGCACTCGTCTAGACTGTAGCATGGATGCTGCTGTTCTGCTCTAGTTGACGGCTGCCTTTCCCCCCGAACATATCACGTTAAAGGTGCCATATGTAATAATTGAGGTAACAATATACGAAAAATGAGCTACACGCATCAAAAGAATGAGAAGAAATAAGTGCAAAGATGTCATTAAAAAACTGACAAGTTATAGTGCTGCCGAGATATTAACCTGAATTAGCATGCTAAATTACTAGCCCCGGCCCGGCAGGTATCGTAATACCAGTTCTGGCCATGGGAGGCGGTATGCGGACGGGCAACGTTAGCACCAGCCAAACTGCAATAGACGAGTGAGTCGCGCTCGCACCGGCTTGTGTGTGTGTGTGTGTACTTGAACCTGATGTCAGTCGTGTGGAAATACAACCAATTACTACATTTCAGTTCAGGGAAGAGTTCAAAAAATGATTGGTCGACATTATGCATGAGGAATACATTTTGGTAAGTTGTAGCATACTGTATCTTTCACCAGTGTTCGTGTTCTTTTTCCAGCTAGTAGAGACGATCGGTTCACGTTAGGGGTGTCACGATTTCGATATTAAATCGAAATCGATCGAAATTAATTCAATGGTATCGAAATCGAAATAAAAAATGGTATCGTCGATACTGCCACGCCCCATGTCGCGTCCGTGATGGAAAGTTCGGATCGTTTTACTGACTCTATTGTTCAATCTCGTTCATCAAAATTAACTAAACTTTTTTTCTAGTCATTTCAGGGGCTTTAAATGTTATACTATTAAGTTATGTTACTTGTTTTTGTTATATTTTAAATTTGGCAATGGTGTAGTGTACATTGTGAACAAATTTATATTGCATAATGCATAAATGTGTAGTCTAAAAATTGCATAGCAATCTGCGCTTTACATTTTTTTTTAAATCGAGAATCGAATCGAATCGTGACCTTAGAATCGATAACTTAATCGAATCGAGGATTTGGAGAATCGTGACACCCCTAGTTCACGTGCGCTAGGGATCTGTAGTGTAACATGTACAAGCGCCAAAACGGTATTTATTCTTTGAATTGCGTAATATAATTGACAGAATCTGAGAGCTTAACTAACCTGCTTGCTAAGTGTCAATTGCGTGTGTCTCACGGCGCTAGCTTGATCAACATCAGCGAATGCTGTCTGTCAAATTAATTCACTAACAATAAAAGTGTAATATGAACAAAACGAATACCATAAACTTCAAATAATTGCCCAAGCTTTTATTTTCCCATACCGTCGAAATGCACCAGCTTGTTTTTGAGATCTATGAGGCGGTCTTCATCATTTAGTGTTGAGATTCATAGTGTTTAGTTTAGTTCACTCTAGTGTTTAGTCTCTGATCTCTAAAAATCTCCAAATGTTCCACGTGAAACTGCGGTCTTCCAACCTTTTACTATCATGTCAAATGATTTGAATAACATGCGCGATGGTAGGAGCACAAGTAATTTTTTGGAGGTATACTGCCCCCATCTGTTATGGAATATGGAGTAGGATTTGATTTATGATGTTAGATGGCACCTGTAACAACAACAATTTAGAAAACGTAATTCATTTGTGGATCCTCTTGATCTGCTTTCTCCATGTTTCTTTGACAAATCTCAGCATCAGTCCCACGCGAGCTGCACGGGAGTTAACCACGCCCACTTATTTACATTTCGCGGTATACGCGGATTTAAAAAATCTGTTACGACTGACGTTTTCTACCGCGGTAACGATATATATCGTCATATCGCCCAGCCCTAGCGCCATCTATAGCTAGCTTCTAGCTTTCTGCGGCTTCTCTTTCACGGTTGTGACGAAATGCGCTGTGTGTTCGCGTTAGGCTACGCTACAAACATGACAACGTCACAATATGGAGATATAAATGTCTCATTCTAAGGTAATAAAAACATTACGGGTCATTGCGTAAGGTCTGAACACATAGTTATGGATCTTAAATTGTTGAGATATTACACATTGCACCTTTAAATTTGATTGGCTGTTTTCTCTCAGCAAAGCAGAAAATATCCAGGTTTGATTGATGGCGATCTTGGTTTAGTTGAATGTGTACGTCGTGTGTTTAGATTGACGGGACGTTTAAGGTGTCCACGCCGCCAGTGCTGCTGGGATACAGTAAGGAGCGCACTTTGGGCAGTGAAGGGGGATATGACACCATCCGCAGCCTGAGCGAAGGGACCTTCCTCAGCCTCTTCATCACCATTGAACCCCAGCTGGTGCCTGGAGACACCGTCAGAGAGAAGGTGAGCTTTTAATCATTATCTTAACCTAAACGGCTTTTAGGAGTAAAGTAAGATTTTTATTTATTTATTTATTGTTTTCTCCTCGGTCTGTCTCTCTCTCTCTCTCTCTCTGTTCGTTGTTGTCTTTGGACTGCTTTTAATAGATGAAGGAAGTAAAGGTAACAGATTTGGAGTCTAGTTTTATTAAGGAATATTCTGGGATCAGCAATCTGACTTGCTGTCGATTACCACAGGAAATATTTTCGACTTATCCCTCAGTTACAATAAAATACGACATATTTGAACATTTTCTGTTAATATGAGATCAATGTTGCAACATGTATTAGTGTAAAGATGTCAGACATAGAGAACCGTTTACATAGAGAACGATCCAGCCACAGGAAGCCAAAACTGTAGCCCGCCTCTAAAGGGAGCGTTTAGAAACTTCACAGCTCATATGAAACAAATTTGAAGTAGATCAATTAATAGAAGTGCTTTAACAGATACACAATTTCTATTTGAATCATTTCAGAGTTTCTTTAATTGTATGTAAGTGCATTACACGGTTTGTGTTTGTTTTCACTAATGGAGAGATAAGTTGATATAATTTTTCTGTTGTGATTGACAGCGTCTGTGAGCATCATAGCTTTACCCAGAACATCCCTGTAAGTGTGGTGTGTTTAGTGGAGTTCTGTTAGATCAGTATGTGTAATATTTCTCCATGATACATTTACTGTACCTGTTAATGCGCTACCCTTCACAAGTTTGGGGTCAGTTCGATTTTTTTTTAATTAATAGTTTAATTAATTAAAGCAGCAGGGATGCTATAAAGTGATTGTAAACATGTTTATAATGTTGTAAAATATTTCCTTTTCAAATCTTTCTGAACCTTTTATTCATATAAAATAATCCACACAGAAATGAAACAAGTGGGAAAAAAGTCAGAAGTGTAAAAGTTGCATATTATAATTTTTTTTTTTTTTTTTAATGGCGGAAACAAGCTTCCATAGAAAACAGATATTTTTAATATAAAGTTTTTACTGATTGGTAAGCATAAACGATTTCTTTCAAAAACTTTTTAAAAAATCATACCGACCCCAAACGGTACTGTATCAAAGATTAGAAATGTCTAAAATTAACATTTTGCTCACATTTTGCTCTTAAAGGATAAATCCTGTATTTAACACCTTGAGTCTATTTTGTAGTTAGTTTTAAATGAAATAGAGTGGTGCAGACTTAGACATTTCGACAATGGGTCCTGTCTCGACTTTTTGACTATTTTAGAATCGCCTGTGACAGCGTTAGACTGGGTGTAAACATGTCCATAAAACAACCCTTAACGTTCATTTTATAAACTGTGTAACTCACCGAGTGGTTGGTGGTGTTCGTTGATGATTAAAAACAAATATATCGGCGCAGTGTACGCTTTCAATCCGTGTTGTTTGCTATAGTGGAACTATTTATTCAGATACCTCACAACCGCGTATAAACGTCCGCTCGATATTCGAGTCTGAAGCGTTAGTACACTCCCGACCACTTGATGGCGACAACACGGTGTCTAACGCACCGTAAAAAAAGTCACAGACACAGTCGAATATGGCAAGACGGAGAACCGAGTGAAAAGACTACAACCAAATGTAAACAGACCCCTTTCCGTTAGCTAGCCTAGCGCAGTAATATCAACGAGCACTGAGTCCTCCAGCAGACATCAATGCGATTTTAAAAAATGACAAATAAAACACGACAAAAACGGTATTTCGCTACTTGTTTCAGAACATCAACGAACACCACCAACCACTCGGTGAGTTGCACAGTTTTGAAAATGAACGTTAAGGGTTGTTTTATAGACATGTTTGTGCATGCCCATAGACACCCAGTCTAACGCTGCCACAGGCGATTCTAAAATAGTCAAAAAGTCGAGACAGGACCCATTGTTGAAATTTCTAAGTCCACCACTCTATTTCATTCAAAACTAACTACAAAATAGACTCAAGGTGTTAAATACCGAAATTATCCTTTAATGAATATAAGAGAAGCCACTGTGCTCAATGACCTCTGACCTTTCCCTCCTCTCAGTTTGAGTCTCAGGAAGTTGAGCGTTTGCTGATAGCGAGTGAAGTGTTTGAGAAGGAGGCAAGTCGGCATTTCCCCGACCGGCCCTGTCTCTCCACCGTCATCGACATCAACGGCAAAACGGTGTTCGTCACACGCTTCATACGACCTCTGAACCCCCCGCAGGAGCTGCTGGATGCGCTCCCCAACAGCCCTCAGGAGACCGCGGTCCGTACACACACACACACACACACGTTCTGTGGCGCTCCTTCTGTTCATCCTCCCGTTCTGTCTCTCCTCAGGAGTTAGTGGCGCGATACGTGTCGCTCGTTCCCTCTCTTCCAGACAGCGTGTCGTTCGCAGGAGTCTGTGACCTCTGGAGCACGTGCGACGTGAGGCGCTTCTCTTATCGTTTTCTTCAAGCTTCTGTTCTTTGAGTTTGTGTTATATAAATATATATATTAGGGCTGGTATTGAGACAAATTTCACAATTCGATTCGATTTCGATTCACAAGCTTGCAATTCGATTCGATTACGATTCGATTCGATGCAATATCGATTATTTTGGATATCAGTTACAATAAATGGCCATTTTTCTCAAGGGAATCAAATCTCTGAACTAATGCTGTAAACTATGGGAGTCTAGTTATAGCCAATAGGCTTCATTAGCCTAATATGAAGGTAATAATGAACTGTTTTGTAGCTATACAAACACTTAAATTACACTTTTATTTATTTTTATAATAAGAAGATTATATGAAATATAAACATTTAAATGGTGGCTGTCATATAAACTTGGCAGAATTATTCAAATATGCATTAAATATTGAAGAACATTAAGATTATAATGCATATGTAATATGGTGTATATATTTAGCAAAATGCTCCTCTCTAGAGTTATTTTTTCTAGCTGACTAACGAGTTTATGTGGGTTTTCTGAGCTAAATATGACGATGACATTGATTACAAGCTGTTTAACTGACGTCTTTCCACGGTTAAAACGCTGATTGAGCGAATCAATGTGACATGATACGGATTTGGATAAGTTGTACTCTATCTTTAACACACTTTCAGATGTTCATTCATGTTTATTTGGCGCTGTGACTGGTATTATTAAGCCGGAAGAGAGATCAGCGCTGCTGCTTCTCCAGAGCGATCTCACGCCACAGCGACAAAACGCTATTTATGTTTTTGAATTTCTAAAGAAAATGGACGTAATTTGAAAATTGAGACTTTGTTTCATATCAATAGTAACAAAGGACAAAGATTACTGCGATTTTTTGGATGCGCGCAGCCGCGATACAATGTCCCATTCATTCAAATGAAACAGGATGACTAATCGATTCTTGAGATTTAAGAATCGATATCGGTTCGTAAAAATGAGAATCGATTAATTTCGAGAAATCGATATTTATTACCCAGCCCTAATATATATACACACAGTTAAACCAAAATGTATTCAGACACCTTCAAAATGTCTCACATTATCACAGTTTATTCGCTTTGGTTATAAAAATGACAAAATACAACATTTTGTCTCACAGATGAATTATGTCAGCTACACAATTAGATAATACCAGTTTAGGTCAACCAATCACCAAGCAATGCTTCATTGTGTTCAGTCCGTGGTGTAAAAAGGTGCGTTAGCAATTACAAAAAAACAAACACGGTCAGGTCAAAGTGTCTGAATAATTGTTGGTCCTAAATTTGTGTAAATTTCACTGGTAGTCACTGTAAGAATTTTTTTTTTTTGGGTATAAAATGTCACAATTTACTTTATTTTGCTATCCTCACGTACATAAATGAACTATTATGTCATATACTTTGATGTTTAATTTGTGCTGTTTTTTAGCAATTCCTAACGCTGCTAGCTGGAGATGAGGAGGAGCATGCAGTTCTGCTCTGTAACTACTTCCTGTCAATGGGGAAACGGGCTTGGCTGATCATAGGATCCGCCATTCCTGAGGTGAGTCTCAGTCTCAGGCTTCCAAGCTAACCGTGTTTGGCTAGTTCACACAGGTCAAGTCCAGTCATTTTAATAGCTTTCTACACAATCAGGAATCTCAGATGAGACAGATTTCCTCACTAGATTTCGCATCAGTCGCCACACCGACCAACAGAAAGCTTGTGCGAGCTGTGCCTCATATGTTGCGTATGGAGTTAATTTTGTGCTATAATTGAACAAACAAATCCAGCATTTTGAAAACAAACTCGATCTGCTTTGGAAAGGAAAACTCGACTCGCAAACAAACAGAAAGTAATGTGCAAGTACAAAACACAAGCGAAAATGCAGAAGAGTAACCCATATGCATTGTTTTTTGCATATATAAATAAATGAGCCTAGATAATATTTCACAAATAAATACAAACCATCCACCAATACAAATTGCCAAAATACCAAATCTAGTGCATACAAATGCATATCTGTCTGTTATGATTGATTGTGAGACAAAATGCTGGATTTGTTTGTTTAATTTTGGCACAATATTAACTCCATAGATGCGTCACTACACTATTGACAGGAGACAGTAACCCACTTACTGATGTGACCCCATTAGGGCTGTAGTCAACCAAAGAAATCCTTAGTCGACCAAGGTCTTGTCCTGCGCAACGATTAGTCGACTAAAAAAAAAAAAAATGATTGAACATTTTTGATTGAACATTTTTTAGACAATTCAGGGATGTGATTTTTCCGGATTAATCCGGAATTCCGGATTTTCCGACCTGAAAATCTGACCTGCGTGAATCATGCAGATCTGTAAAAAAAAAAAAAAAAAGGGGGACGGGTGTCGGCAGCCGGAGTGAAAAGGAGAGAATATGAGGACATAACCCATAACTGGCTGACGTGCGTACAGAAAGTTCCTTCCAAAGTATCCAGAAACACTTATCTAGTATCAACAAGGACGTATTTGCGTTCAGCCAGAGAATGTCTAATTGGTTCAGCTTGTTCACCTGCTCAATTTCGTATCTCTAGTCGCTCTCGCGCTGGTATCGTTGTCAGTTGACAAGAACATCACAGTTAGGTCACCAGGGCTGGGCGATATATCGATATATTTCAAATTTGCGCTATGTTCCTTGCTCCAAGCAAGCTGCTGACTGCTTTTGTAGAAATATGTAGCAGCTATATCGTGCATTCTGCCAGTTGCAGTCCTGACACCTCCGTCTCAACAGCATTAGTGTACAACGCGACAAATACTCGCAATATTAACGCAGAGGAACGGCTACATCAGTTCAACGAGTTCACAAAAGTTAATTTGCATGTGCTTAGTTTAAAGCCTTGTCGGTTAAACATGTCATTGCGGGGAACACCCTACGTGCACATGCACTAAAAGCTTGTCTAACAGCGCCTGGTTGCTGGACTAAGTTATCTTTCGAGTTGTTTTCGCTAATACTCTCAAATACACACAAGGTTTACATAGAAACATTTGGTTATGTCTAAATTCAAAGCAAACCGAGAAAATTGAGAGAAATCTGCTTGTCAAATGCTCCGTGTATATTAGACGTGTCGCGTACAGGTCTTAAAGTGACAGTAGCCCTAATAATAAAAATGCAGCCGCTTGTTCTTAAAGGGATAGTTGACCCCAAAATAAAAATTCTGTCATTATTTATTCACTGTAATGTTGTTCCAAACCTGTATTAATTTATTTCTTGTGCTGAACAAAAAAGAAGATATTTTGAATAATGTGGGTAACTAGAAATAATGTGCTGGTCCCCATTGACTTCCATAGGGAAAAAATTTACTATGGAAATCACTGGGGTACCTCAACTGTTTGGTTACCGACATTCTTCCAAATAACTTATATAACTTAAACAGAAGAAAGAAACTTTTTCAGGTTTAAAACAACTTGAGAGAGTAAATGATGAAAATTAATTTTTTTGGGAGAACTATCTATTTAATGTTAATTAAACAACAAAACACAGAGGAAATCACTCACTGCTCTTGACTGAGAACTGTAATAGTAGCTTTAATAAGAATCAATGTATAATTTATACAGTGAAGGCTATATTTGACTTTGATTGAACATTTGCTCTCATTTTGCGGAAAAGAAATTGTGATATATATTGATGGGAGGGGGGGCTCGGTAAATTTTCCTGATTTTTTGTCCTTAGCCAATCACATGCCTGACAATTGTCATAGAGCATTTATAAAACAACAACGAAAAAACATCAAAAATAAATAAAACTATAATAATAACGAAATTCTTTGAAAATTAAGTGGTTTTTTTTAACTGCAAAAAGTGAGGAGCTCTGTCCTAGGTCTATGGTGACAGTCACCTGCTTACACCAAACGCTACAAAAAATATAGGCTAACTGCTATCTGCCACATAATGAAAAATCGTAACAAAAGCTCTCGTTTATACGGGTTATTTTTCTTTACTTAGAAAGCTCTGGGTTAACTTTTGTCCAGCCGATCTAGCCGAAATAGGCTGTGTTGTAAGAAGGCATATAGGTTTATTTTCGTTTTGTTGCATTATTTAGGCTATTTTCAAATGCGTCTAGTGTACAAATAAAAACTAAAACATATTTAGAAAACACAATCTATTGTGTCAGCATGATAAAAGGCTGCTCACGTCTTTTGCGCGCTCAAGTTCGATTTCAAATGTAGGCAAGCGATGTGGAGCAACGCGATCGCGGTCGCCTACCTCCACAAAAATGTAGCCAGACAAAAGATTTGGATTTCTTGGACATTTTGTCGACTAAACAAGTAGCGTGAACTGAATGAATACAGCAAAACTACCTACCGGTACATCCCTTACTGAGCGCGAGCAGCAGCGCAGCCAGACACAGGTGCGGTTCCCGAGTGTATTATGTGTGTTTGCGCTAAACTGTGGCGCAGTTACAAAAAATAGCCTAAATTAAATCATTTAAAGTTGGGGATAAAACATAGGCTAATTATATTTAGAATACAGTAATAAATAACTGCTTATAAAGGAATAAATATCAAGGAGTAAATCATTGAAAATGTATTTCTATTGGTTAAAAAAAAAAAAAAAAAAAAAAATGCGACAGGTCGACCAATAAGAATGTCAGTCGACCAAAACGGCATCGACCGATTAGTCGACTAAACGACTAAAGTTGACAGCCCTAGAAAGAGTTGGTGGAAAATCTCTGTGTTAGTGAGCCTGAGCACAGACACCCGTGGGGATGGACGTGTGTTGTTATCTGATGCCTGTGCCGTTGTTTCAGGGCCCTACCGCGTACGTTCTGACGTATGAGCAGAACCGCTATCTGATCTGGAATCCCAGCACTGGGCAGCACTACGGGCAGTACGACATATTCTGCCCCCTACAGACCATCGGCTGCCTCATCAACTCAGACAACGTCAGTATAACCGCATACAGCTCGCATAACTGACCTCAGCTGTGCTAAAATACATATTACAACGTACAATTCACTGCTGCTTGGAAGAATTAAGATTTTGCATTGTTTTTAAAAGTCTCTTCTGCTCACCAACACTACATTTTAATCATTAAAAATGCAGTAAGATTGTGAAATATTCTAAATATATTGTACATTGTAATGTATTCCTGTGATCAAAGCTGTATTTTCAGCATCATTAATCCAGTCTTCAGTGCCACATGATCCTTTAGAAATCATTCGGTTACACTTTACTTGAAGGGGTGTGCATAAGACTGACATGACACATGTTATGAATATGAATGTTTATGACAACTGTCATTATGTGTCTTTCGCTCAATAATGACATTTTGAATGCAAATATGACATTGTTTGAGATGTCTTTGTTATGACATCTTGACAAAATCGGTCTGGCTCTAGTGTCGATTAAGTTCAAATCCACATATTCAAAAACATATGCGTCAATGCCTATTTGTGTAGGATATGGAAACTGTGATACACTTCTATTCAAATGTTTGGGGTAAGGTTTTCCTTAAAAAAAATAATAATAAAATAAAAAAATGTATTCAGCAAGGACACCTTAAATTGATTAAAAGTGACAATAAAGACTTTAATAATGCCACAAAAGAGTTCTATTTCAAATAAATGTTGCTTCAATGTTTCCACAACTGTTTTCAACATTGATGGGATGATACACAGAAAACAGTTCTTTTATATTGTAAATTGAAACAATATCTTTTAATATTTACTTGGTGAGCAGAAGCGACTCAAAAACTTGCAGTTTCTGTCAAAGCTGCACTGAAGTTGATTCCAGTGTGTTCTGGCTTTCATTGTATGTGATGTGGTCAAATAGTGTATGATTATAATATTTGTGTCTCAGGTGTGGTTTAATATCCAGCCATACGCTGCTCCCATGAGAATGAGTTTCGATGTCTCTAAGCCAAAGCTCTGGAAAGCGTTTTTCTCACGATCGTTCCCTGACCCCGGCCTCTCTAGTGTGCAGGTGAGGACGGCTCCACCAATCACAGGCCTCCGTTTAACAGGGTCACAAATTGTGTTGTCAGAACTGATTTTGAGGGCTGTTTTTCAGCCGGAGGCACTGGTGTACAGACGCACGGACAAAGTAGCTGCCGTGGAGTTACAGGACAGGTTAGTTGTAAAAGTCTTGTTTAGACACGCAGCAGTTCAGGGGTGTGAACACTTATGCACTTTTCTTTTCTCTGAAATATCTTTGGTTGTCAGTGGCATTGTAACTTTTTCATTTACCCTCTGGGGTTGTTCGGCCCAAATGGACCCGAAGAATTTAAATTTTTATTTTTTTTTAATCAAAAAAGCTTCCTTGGAATGCTCCGAAATTTGGTGACTTTGTTGGTATTTGGTATTTGAACACCCCAAAAAATTGGGGACAGGATGTGAATAGTCTAAGTGGTTGTAAAAAAAAAATAGTCACACTTGGGGTTAGGGATGGGCAACGATTAATCGTGATTAATCGCATCCAAAATAAAAGTTTTTGTTTACATAATATGTGTGTGTGTGTAGTGTGTATAGTTAATTTGTATATATAAATACCCACACATGCATGTATATATTTTATATATATTTATTCACAATTAATATTATATATAAATATCAATATTTGATATATTAATAACACATTTTTCTTAAATATATACATGCATGTGTGGGTATTTATATGAATTATACACACTACACACACATATATTATGTAAACACAAACTTTTATTTTGGATGCGATTAATTGTTGCCCATCCCTACTTGGGGTGTTCGGGTCCAAATGGACCCGCATGGAAAATGAATGGGAAATTGGCAAAAATGTGAAAATACTGAGTTTTTTTGTGCGTACAATCTACAAATCAGCCACGATCTTGAAAAAAGCACACAACAGTGAAGGGGTGAATCTATAAAACATCAAGAGTGCAAAACAGACACATCCAGACACACAAACACACTTTTATACACAAACACACCAAAAAATTCAGATTATACTTGTGTTTTACATTTTTTAAATGCTCAGTTTGTCCACCAGATGGCATCCATCTCATTTCAAAAATTGCTTTTTGAGGCCTAGGATTGACTCTAAAATGAAATACAGCTTTACATTTTATATTTTTACTATTATGTTCAATGGGGGGAAATTTTGTCATAATTATTGCATTAATAGTAATTATAATTTTTTTTTATTTTTGAAATTTTCTCAAAACACCAAAAAAGAAAAGAAAAAATATTATAAAAAAAGAGTAAAAAAAAAAAAAAAATCATGATTTATTTATTTTTTTTAAATATGAATCCCGTCACACCCCGAGTGTGACTCTGAAACGAACAACCCCAGAGGGTTAAACATGTTAAAAGTCTGATTTGATTTATCTTTGTTTATTTTTTTTTTAGGGATGTGCGATATATCGGCCACCATATCGGTGTAGGTCGATATATATTTATTTGTAATGTTATCGTTATCCACCCGATAAGAAAATTTGGCTGATATATTGAAGCCGATAAATAATGTATTATTTACTTCACATGTGCACCGTTCGACATGATGGTTTTAAATTGCTTGAAATATGATCGGAATCGCTTAGGAAAATACAGTTAATGCAACACAAGTCTGTCATATCGGCGATATAAAATAACATCCTTATAATTGTGTGCTTGGGACATGGATTTTAATGGTGAGACTTTGGTTTTTGTAATCAGGCTCTCAAAAATTATATAAAAATTTGGATTTAGATTTATCGGCCGATATATCGGTTATCTCTCAAATATATCGAATTATCGTATCGGACAAAATTTTCATATCGGTGCATCCCAATTATCAGCTGTTTTAACAGGGACTTCTCACATCCACTGTAGGTACAAATATTTAATGGCATGTTATGAAATGATATTCGTGCAGTAAATGCCTGTGCTCATGTGATGTAGGATAGAGAAGGTTTTGAAGGAGAAGATCATGGAATGGCGACCCCGTCACCCCACTCGCTGGAACCGCTACTGCATCTCCACGCTACGCCAGTTCCTGCCAAAATTAGAGCTGAGCGGAGGACGAGAGGTGGCGGAGGAACATCGCCTCGAGCTGCAAAGCCTTCTGGGAGAATACAAGGTGAGAATACAAAGTTCCCTGGTTTTGTGTTTCTTGCTTTTGCTGTTTGGACTTTTATTTTGAAGTGTATTTTCTGTTCCCAGTGTTCACGTCCTCTGTTTAGTTCCTGGTATATTTTGTTTCTATAGTTACCCTTGTTTGTTGTTGCCATAGTGATTGATTACCCTGACCTGTTGCTAGTTAGCTTCTCGTTGTTCAGTGTCTCATGTTGTTATTCTTTGTGGATGTTTCGTATGTGTCGTTGTCAGTACTTCTCCGTCATGTGCATGGATTTACACTCGTTTTGTTTGTGTAAATAAATGTTTATGTTGCAATCCTGATCTCCGTCTCTCTAAAACACCCCGCATTACAAATAGCGTGACATGCAGCCCAATTGCCGGCTCATTTGGCGAACACTGTTCTCAGATCAGTATAAGGGCCAGGTGTGCTCATTGAGATGTTAATTAATCATACCTGTTCATTGTTCTGTTTCAGATATCTGGGTTTCCCCTGCACCTTCCTTTCTCAGAGATTCGGCCAATCATCGAAGCCGTTCACAGCACAGGGGTTCATAAAGCCGAAGCACCAAACGTTGAGTTTGCCCTGGCGGTCCACGTGCACCCGTACCCCGGTAACGTGCTCTCCGTTTGGGTCTACATCGCCTCCCTGCTCAGTGTACACTAGATCTCAGCGGAGCAATAATATAAAGACTTCTAGATATGATGATGATGATATCAATGTCATATTTTATATACATGTTTTGATTTTGTAGTGCTCCTGTGCCTGCCAGTGTGTTTTAACACTATGGCTACTAATACTAGTTATATTATTTATTTTTAAAGAAACATTTTTAAAGAATATTTTTCGTGCTTGTACTAGACCGATTTTTATGAAATAATTTTAGACCATTTTTATTACACTAGATTGCTAAGTTTGTTCTTGTTTCCCCTAGTATCGTTCTTTCAGGGTCAATGTCACAAAACCCACCTGGAACATGTCTAGGCCATATTGCACTTTCATTAAAAAAACAATGTTTTTATTTTCTTCTGATAATGAGGTACAATATCACCTGAATATGTTCTTTACAGTTGAATACTTTATTCATTTATAGATATTTGAACTGTTCTGCTTCAAGCTGAGGTAAGCACACTATTAAACTGAATCAGTTGATTGTTGAGGCACAATTAAGTGTCGAAATAGCACATTATGCAGTATTTGTGCTACAGAATAAAACCGTGCAGATGCTTTTAACTGATCTTTCCATGTGAAATTGTAAATCTTTCGAGAGACTCTTTAGTACTACAGAGAGATGTTATCACTGTGTGTGACTGATGTATTTGTCTGCCTCAGACAGACAGACGGGTCTATCAGATCTGTCCGCTGTTATCAGCTCAGTTTGGTTGGAACTTGTTGGGTTTTGCGGGTGTTTTTTTGTTTTTAGTATCAGTGTGTTGATTTCAGGCTTATCAAACTTTATAAACTTCCTGATGACAATTTTACAGCAAGAGGCTTCACTCTTTACCTGGACACTTCATAATACTGTGTGTTTGGCTCCTCTTTTTCCAATCTTGTTTTTTTTTTTTTTTTTAAATATTACCTTTATTTTTGGTGTGTTTTATAGCTGTTTGTGAAATATAAAAGGGTGTGAAAATTTTTAAATATCAAAGTCCACGACAAATAAAGTTTTTGTCTCCTAACAGAATAAAAAAAACCATCTGACCAATCAGAGCAGAGTAGACCAATCACAACAGACTGGACCATCTGACCAATCAGAGCAGAGTAGACCAATCACAACAGAAAGTTCGTTGAAAGGCGGGTTTAGAGAGAGACTGAATCTTCGAACAAACCGTTTTCAAACACTGAGAAAAGGAGTGATGCATGTAGATCTGTCACGGGAGACCTACCAAACAAAATCGGAAGCTTTTAAAATAGTGCAATAGGAAACTTTGATGGAATATGAAATGATTGAGATCAGACTGAAGTGACAGATCTGCAGAGGGGTAGATGGGTGCCACACTCAGTCTGAAACAGCATTGCTTTGACAGCATTTGAATGTATTATTCTGGTGTTTAGAAATGAATGCATCCTTCCTGCTTCAGCGAGTAACATTTAGGTATTCGTGTGTCTGACCTCAGAACATTTTGGAAATTTAGAACAAGTTCTTTTTTTCCTGAGGAGGATATTTTGAGAAAGTTGCAGTTGTTTTCATAGCGCAATAAACTCTTGACTCTCAGAAGATCAAGGAATCTTTTAATTTTTCACGACAAGTGCTCTTTAAAGACGTGACCCGCTCTGGAATGTCATCAGCTGCGTGCTGCCTTCATGATGTGCTCTAAATCCCCCCTTTCTCTCGCCCCGCTTTCCTGTATTAAACTCAGACAGCACAGGCCAGAAAAGAAACCACAAGGGACATCAAGAATCAGACTGAGATTATTACTAGATTAGAGTAAATAATGCAATGACCACTAGATGGCTCCTCTTCATCATATGAGTTTAATTTATCCGCTCAGATCTGTTGTTTTCCTGCTAAAGGACATGACCGCAGATCACATCTGTATCAGATCAGGCCATTAGACACCAGACACGTGACCTCCCGCCATGATCACTGGGGTACCTGAAAGCGGGGTCATTGGTTCAAGCTGTAAAATAAAAGAATAATCTCAGAGTTTTGTCGGGTTGCGGCTGGATATTTTAAATTTCATACGCGTTAAGGCGCGGATGGATGAAATAACCACTCACCAACTTAACCGGTGTCAGTGTGAACGGGCCTTCGGTGTGGAAAAGAGAGTGTGTTGCTGCTAGGACACGGCGTAAGCTTCAACACGCCACTTGAGGTTTGAATCATTAAGCATCGCACGGCATTTCCGTTGAGCCTCGGACACATTGTTCTCAGGCGTCTGATCAAACACTGCAGAATGAAAATGAAATAACTGTTTCTGTCATTATTCTGATATAAGAGCAGCGGCACTGCTCTCTTTCATGTCGGTTTGGACACAAACAAGTATATTGTTGATGGTTATGGTGTTATTTACCTTAGGAATGTGCAAATGGATTATAGACAGCATCTCATTTGTGTCAATGAAACCGCAAAAAAATACAGCCATTGTTATTACATGGATATACTGACCGAAATATAGCCATTCAGACGGAATCTGCAGATTCTTTCTTTTTTCCACTCGGATTTGGGGTGAAAATTGGTGGAATTTTGCAGGATTGGATTTGAACTTGGTCAAATGTGCTCTTAATGCGAAGTTCAGCGCATGTAGATTAGAGCTCGACCGATAAAGGATTTTAAAGGCCGATACCAATACAAATATTTTTGGGTTTTAAAATCCGATATATCGGCCGATATTTTTTTTTTTTTAATTAAATATTGTTGGGTTTCACACACGTGTAAAAGAAAAGCTAACTTTTCTGCACAAGATACGTTTGATACTTTTTCTCTATGTCTAAATGTTCACTCCTCGCAAGTATAACTTACAGGGACTGTAACTAGAGATATGCTAGTTATAAATACAGTAATCATTTCTTTATTTAGGCAGAAAAAGTTCATTGTGGTTTCCAAGCTCATTAATGTTAACGTTAGCGGTCTTCCACTGATGATAGTGGTGTTAGCTAGCTTTGTGGTTAGCTAGTCTATGATGAGCCATAATTTAGCAATAGATAACATCATACTGCAAGTTGTAAAACAAACATTTTCAATATAACAGGCCAAGGAGAGATGATTAAAGCGTGTTTCGTCCTTTTTTTATTTTTCTAAACAAACATTTATCGGCCATTATAACTGCCGATACCGATATTATGGAAAATGCCTAATATCGGCCGATATATCGGTCTGGCTCTAATGTAGATTCAGTGTGAGCCTCTCTGGTGGAAAGTGGAAAGGGTGTTCTGTGTGGTTGCTAGTCGGTTCTTACTGACCCGGGTCTAAACTGTCTCTCTTTAATATTCTGATTTCTAGGTATTACATTGGTACCTCCTTAATCGCTAAAAGTACACATTTAAAGTATATTTTTAAAAAAGTGCTGACACTAAAACCATTCATGCTGCAAAATTACCCAACAAAATTGGCAACTTCATGTTTATCATATATATACGTTTGATAAAGCAGTTCCTGACCGAGCCAAAAGGGGGCAGCAGTGAGCTACAGTACTAAATGCCATATGCGGCACCGCAGCTCTTTGTATTACTTCATTTGAATGCCGCTGCTGTGTTTGCATGAATGTGTGTGAGTGTCATTCCATCAGATGTCTATGTGTGTGTGCGAGGTTGTAGATTATCCTGCCGAAGGCGTCATTGAGATGTTGCGGTCATGCGTGAAGTCAGATGGTGAAAGCCGGCATTGTGTGAGTCCAGCCTGAAACTTTGAGTCTAAATCTGGGCTCGAGGAGGAACTGTAGAGAGCAAGTTTCTCTGCTGAGTGCTACCGTCGGGTCACGCTGGACCACAGCAAACCGTGACGAGAGAGATAAAGGAAGTGCAGAATAGTGGTTTGGTTGTGCTGAGTTTGGAAAGTCCCCTCTGGCTATTGGAGAGCAGCTGATACAACCGTGATCAGACACAGAAGTGAACATCACACTGACCTTAGCATAGTCACACACAAAATATCATGGTAAGAATATTAATTATTGGGTTTGGCCAATGCCGACAAAAACCAATAAAATGTCCTGTCACTCATCATGTCTGGATTGAACTTTTAACTGTGCCTTCACTTGCTTCATGTGCAACACTTGAATGCATTTATAGTACACAATTATGCAAACCCTTTGAGAGCAGGACAAAACCTGTCTATTCAATATACGTAAAATCAAACAGTTTCATCATCTGCTGATAGTTGTTTCAAAATCTTCAAACCATAATCATCTGACCCCTAAACCTATGCACAGATTTATACCATCACACTTGCATACACATTTGCACAAACACACATACAGACATATTTGTGCACACTCTTACACAGACACAAATGATATCTGAAGCAATCGTTTTCACCCAATCTAGCCTTGACCAAGAGGACACAGTAGAAGTCCTCTCGTGTGGTGATCTGTGGTTCTTCTAGAGGCCTGTGGCCTCCTGGGTGATCTGGAGACCGGACCTCTGCTCCTCCCCACAGTGCTGCTCGCTTTATAGGCCACACACTCTTCTTTGTTGCTGTGATTTATGGAGCTCCATCTGTTACTGCCACATCTATTCACAACCAGGTATGTGTGCATGGAAAAACGAGGCATGAGCTACTATTACTGTGAGGGATTGGGAATGAGGAAAGAATTTAAGAGAATTTGGAATAAGTGTGCAGGTTTATTGTAGGCCATTCGAGTGTGTGTTTTGCATATTAGGGAGCGCTATGTTACCTGATACCTCAATGTGTTCTCATTGTATTCTTTTATATGTAATCTGCAATGATTCAGAGAGAATGTGTGAGGTGCATTCATTCACTTGATACTCTGATTCTGAGAGATACTGCGCGATACTGTGTGTGTGTGTGTGTGTGAACCCACAAAGAGCTCTATTTAATGTGTGAATGAGGGCTGATTGCACCTGAGTCAGTTTCCTACTGACCAACAGAGTCGTAATTGTTCAATTTTTTTTCACTCTGCATTCTTTGGCTGTGGTCTTGATTACCATCGCACACATTTCCCGGGGCTCTTGTTTTGAGATTCATTCGTTCGTTCTCCTTTTCCCTTCATCTGTTGGATACGTTTCGGCTGAGTGACACCATTAAGAGAGCATGTGGGAACGTGGCCATTTTAGTTACTGTAGAGAAAGACATTCTTGAACTCAAGCATCAGTCAGATTTAAACACCTGGAATATTAGGTATAAAAATGAGAGTACGGCAGGAATGAGCCCCTTTAATAGTGAAAGCATAAGTGGCCTTTTCAGTCATTTCGCTCTGCCCTGTGTGATGTGATTTCCCCCAACCCACCCCCCCTGGGACGCGACTTCTACCAAGGGGGAAAGTACATCTGATAATTTGAGGAAAGGACAATGAGAATTGGCGAGTGGAATTTCCCTTTAAACAAAGGAGATGGTGTGCATCCACTCAGATTTGTTCTTCACCTCTGGGAAGAAGCTGGGTATTGCTGGCGATAACAGGGCATCACAGCAGTCTCTCTACCTGGGCATGGATAAGTGCAGAGAGCTCTTTAGCTAAAACAGCAGCTTTCTCCCCCCCAAAAAAAACCTAAAAGCAAGGACCGAGAGAGTCTTTTTAAAAGATACCTTTCCACCTGTTTTTCTGGTTGCGGTCGATTTCTCTAATCATTGGACTGCCACAAACTCTGACCCTTTAGGTTTGGGTCGTTCCCGCACTGAGAAAGAGTTTGTGGATGGTTAATGTCCTCATTTTGAGAACATGACCATGGCAATGTTGTGGTTGCGACGTTTTCTTAGTCAGAGAAGGAGTCACTTCAGTCGCTCCCCCCCTCGGTCCTGCACAAGGCGGCCACGGCAAGCACTGAGGGCGGCAACAACAGGAGCATTTCCACCGGGTCAC